CGGATGAGCCAACTGCCACCACAATCACTGACACCGCTGAGCCTACAACCACCACGGAAGAGCCAACTGCCACCACAATCACGCACACCGCTGAGCCCACCGAACCTACCGATGAGGCGACTGTCACGGTGACGATCTTTACGTGTGATAATGTCACCCCGCTCCCACCATCGACCGTCGTGACCCACACGAACGGGACTGGTATCGTGCACCCGACTGGTGGAGACACCAACACGCCTGTTGGTCCTACGTCGACTAACATCCCACCCATTCCTAACGCTGGTGGCGCGAATTCGGCGAGCTTGGGAATGGTGGTGTTGGCGGCTGCTTTTGCTTTCATGGTTTGAGGGGGGGGTAGTTGATGGGATGAGTGTTTGAGGAGGGGAGTTGATGGATGAGAGTTTGAGATGACGTGTTGCGTGCCTGGTGCCTGGTACCTGGTGCCTGGTATCTAGTGCCGCGGGGAAATGGGGTGATGAAATGGGACGAGAATGTGATGATCTGACGATGACGAGGCCTGGCGTTGGAGTCTTGTAACTAATTTGCCGATATTTGCGTAATATCCTAATATTCTAGCGCTTTCGCAACCGGATTCCCAATAAAGTGAAGAACAAAGTAAAAAAAGTCTGCCACTTAGCACTCGTTTCCCACACGTCCCCCCCCGCCTTTGTTAGCTCCCATCTGGTAAAAAAAATCCACGCCGTTCCAAATCAATCACCCCATCCCATTCCAGCCTCCGCTTCCCCTGGAACAGCCGTGTCGCCGCGTGTCGCCGGCGTGGACTCTAAATCCACCTAACACCTCTAGCTCCCGCATGTGCCTGACATCCATCCACTCACATCGCTTTCCCCCCTTTTTCCACCCACGTTTCGACAGCGGGAATCACATCACCACCCGCTGTCAAAACATGGCACTTCCCCAACATCGTGTGATGATGGGGGTGGGTTACCAGGAACCAGGTACTGGTTCGGCTGGTGTGGAAGCTAGAAGGTGGTTTTTTTTAGTAGATAGATAGATAGATGGGTGTAATGGGATTTTTTTCGTCTCTCTCTCTTTTCTGTTTCTCTTCCTTTGTGAAATCATCACTTTATTCTAATTGTCGATTTATCGACAATACCCTCCGTCGGATTTTATCAACTTGCTCCCTCTGTCGATACGCTCAAGTCCCATAGCATCTATCAACTCCTGTCGACAGTACGGTGACTATCTACTATTATAAGAAGGATAGCAACTATTACTCGTTCCTACGAGGACAGTTACTGTCACATACAGTTATTACGACAGTGTCCATCTCCCTCTGCACACACCATATCACCTCATAACTATCATAACGAGCATAGTGCCTGTCGCCTTTTATAATAACGACAACACCTCACAATTCTCATAAAGAGCACAACGCCTCACAACAATCATAAAGAGCACAGTGCCCATCACCCTCTATAAAATTTACAACGCCTCATAATTATCATAAGAACGACAGCACCCATTGCCTTTTATATCCACAACAACACCTCACAACTCCTACAAAGAGAACAACGCCTCACAACCATCTAAAAGAGCACAGCACACATCACCTTCTACAAAACTCATAGCGCCTCACAACTCCTTTAAAGAGAACACCACCCATCGCCTTCCGCAAACCCAACAGCGCCTTACAACTCTTACAAAGAGTAGAGCGCCTTACAACAATCACAAAGCGCACAGCGCCCCTTATCAACTCCACACACGACAACCACCATGTCAACCCCCCAACCGCCACCGCCGCCTTCCGGCTCCCCAACCTCCTCCGACACTCTCCCCCGCACTCCCTCCCCAAAGTCGCCTTCCATCTCCGCGCCACCACAGACCCTCAACTTCCAACCGCCCGGCATAATCATCACCTCCGCCCCTGAGGAACCTTTCATCCGCTCTGCCGCCCCCTCGCCATCCTCTTCGCGCTTCGCTGCTGAGGAACGAAGTCGTCGATCTGCGGCGCCGTCGCCGGAGGAACGGTCTCTGAAGACGCCGTCGCCGTCGCCGTCGCCGTCGTTGACTGGGGCTGTTGTTGCTGGCCCAAGTCAGGGCAGTCGGTCACGGTCGTCGTCTATTCTCGGCGCCGGTGTGCCGCCCCTGATACCAGGGGCTGGTAATGGATATTCTGCTGCCGGTGTTAGTGGCAGCATGCCGCCTCCGCCGGCACCGACATTGATACCCGACCCCCCCGGCTCCACGCGCTTAGCAGCGTTCCCGAGAACAAGATTTTCCTCGCACCATGTCGAATTCGAAGGGCGCCCCCCGCAGCAGCCCGAACTGCTGGCAACCCCGCTGTCCTCCTACTTCGAGGGCAGACACACCGTGGACCCGGCATCGATCGCGGATTCGGGACGCAGCAGCAGCAGCAGCAGTCGCCCATACAGCAGAAACGCAGCGATGGTGATCCCGCAATTATCCGGTCCGGCATCGCAACACGGCGGCGATCCGTCGAGCTCGGGTTTCCAGCGCTCTGGCCCGGTTGTTGGCACGGGGACTGGGCAGAATGAAGATGCGGTGCCGAGACGGCGTGGGAGGTCCGCTTTTGAGCGGGTTCAGGATTTCATGCGAGGCGCTTGCATGCCTATTGCAGGGCGGAAGAGGGGGCATGAGGAGATGGAGGACGGCTGGGCGTTGACGGGTATGGTTGGGGACGGGGTTGGAAATGGGTTTGGAAATGGGCTCGGAAATGGGAATGCGAATGGGTTTGGAAATGAGAATGGGTTTGTAAATGCGAATGGGTTTGGGAATGGGTTTGGAAATGGGAATGAGAATGGGAATGAGAATGGGGTTGACGGGTATTTCCATGAGGAAGATGGAGACGTCGACATGGATGGGGCCAATGCCATGGCCACCGACGATGCTGTGCATGGGGATGATGCCATGGATGGGGCCAATGCCATGGCCACCGACGATGCTGTGCATGGGGATGATGCCATGGATGGAGACGCCACTATCCACGGGGCTACCATGGATGCCGTAGAAACCGGCACCGAACACACCGAACCCCAAAACGGCTACGAAGACCACGACGAAGCCCTTGCAACCGCACCAGTATGGCCCCCTTCCATGCACACCACCCACCATCCCACCCCTTACACTCCGCACAGGTCTGCCCCCCTGCCGGACCCCCATCAAATGGTTCCGCCAACCATCCATTCCGCTGCAACCCGCGTCAAGACCCGCGATTATAGCGGGTCGATACAACTCCCCCGGCCGGAAGCAGTGAGTAGGGAGAGAGAAGGACGGTATGGGAGCTTGGGAGAGACGCTTCCGTGCGGGTGTTCTTACGGGGAGTCGTTGGGAGAAGAGGGGTGCAGCTGGAAGTATTGTGAGGAGCATCAGTGTATTAGGCAGGAGGAAGAGGATGGGGATGAGGAGGATGGGGGAGAACCAGAGGAGGAGAGAGGGAGAAGTAGGTATAGAGATTGCTAGGGGGTGAGTTGCGGGGTATGGTTTGGGGTTACGATTGATTCAGTTACGAATATGGTGGGATTTCTTAATATATATGGTAAGAGGGTTCCAGTACGATTTGGAACACGGAAGTTGAAGTTTTGGGGTTGATGGTGTCGAAAGGTTTTGTTGACGTTATTTATCGTCCTGCATTTTTGGTTCATATGGTGGGGTTATATTAGGATATGGAGCAGGGAAGTTGGAGTTTTGAGGTTGATGGTGTTGAAAGGATTTGATGAAGTTATTTATCGTCCTGCATTTTTGGATTATATTTAGATCATACTGCGCTTCGACGTGCGGATCTTACATTTATTTTTCAAATATAACTACCACTTCAAGAAAGAAAAAGGTTCGTTTGCAAACTCGTTCTCGCCTTATCCTCGGTCACGAAGTTTAGCGATAGCCTCCTTCTTGCGGGCGTGCATCTCTCATATGATATAACGGACGTTGCTCAGCTGCGCGCCCCTGACTTTATCTTCTCCCTTGTCGTCGTCAGACTACCAGCGACTCCAAACACCCCAGTCGCCGTCATAAACAGGGGTGTGACAGGAGTAGCGCGGGAAGCGACCCGACCCGCCTGACAGGGCACCCCTGAAGCCAAGAAACCCGCAGCCCTGCAGCGGTCAGCTCGGGCTCCGCAACGACGACGCCCACCATGCCGTCTACAGCTCCCAGCTCCGTTTTCGACGTCGCCGACGAAGGCGCAAGGAATTTCCGTAGCTGACGGACTGCAGAGGCAGCTCGCGGATCCGATCACGATGTCGCGGAGGAATGCGAGCACGCAGGGAAGCTCGCCAGCTGAAAGGTCGCAGACGAGCGTAGTCGTCAGCAGTGAAGCGCCTACATTGAAGGGTTTTGCTCGTCTTGCTCATCGTGCTCGTATTAGTCGTCTTGCTCAACTTATTCGCATTGATCGTCTTTCTCGCCTTGCTCGTGCTGCTCTTTGTATGTACCCCCCCCCCCCTCCAGGGGTTTGCGTGGCTGAGATGAGTTGCTAATGAGCTATCTCTAACAGATTGGTTGCCGTTCTTCGGCATTCACCATGTCTTCATGATCACCATATCCATCTCTATCATCTTCCTCTGTACCTGCCCCCTCTTCTCTCCCCCCCGGTCCCCCACTAACCTCATCACCACCCAGCCATCCTTGTCGCCGGGTGCACAACTACAGGCCTCAAAGATGTATACCTTCTCTCCCTCTCTTACCAACCCGCCCCTCCGTCCTCCCCCCCCGCATCGCAGCTGAGCCCATCCCTCTCCACCACCTTCGCCAACCTAGCTGGCAACTCCACAACACTCCAGGTCCGCGCCGGCTACATTGGGATGTGCATCAGCGCCGCGCCAGGGAACTGGACTTGTTCGCGCGACGCCGATGCACTGGCTCGCGCCCTGAATGGGACCCGGAGTGGAAGCAGCCCGGACCCACTGAACATCCTCTGGATCGCCAAGACCTTCCGCGACACCATCGTCTTCGATGGGCTCATGTTTGCCCCCCCTCACACCCCCACTTTAACCGCCTGCTAACTATCATCTACAGATTTGCCTCCATCGCGCTCATGGTCATCAGCCTCATCCTACTAGTGACCTATCCTCAATGGCATACTAGTGAGGACGACGACGGGTCTGAGGTCGAAGTGCGACCTTTTCCGTCGCGCGCTGTGTCGAAGATAACGCTTGTAGCGATTTTAATCGCGGCAATCCTCATGATGATCTCGATACTCTGGCAGCACGTGGCGACGGCAACGGCGTCGAGTATGGGCGGGAGCTTGGCGTATGGAGCCGTGAGGGGCGGGGTGGGCGCGGCGGCTATGGTGCTGGGATGGGGGGGGGGATTTCTGGTTGTCGTTGCGATGTTGGGGATCTTGGTTATGGTTTTGAGTATTCAGACTATTCAAGCCATAGAATATTGATGACGTGGTGCCAGGCAAAGCGCTGTAAAAATGGGCGTAAAAGGCTAATAGACCGTGTAGTGTAGAATATTATTCTATACATAGCGTATTATGGTATTCTTGTTTTAGAGCTCGCCTTGGCATCTCTTTTCCGTAGACCTAAAGGGAACCCGAACCCGAGCCCGAGCCAGAGGCATGAGTATAAGTAGTACTACCATATCTATCATTTGAACCCCTCGCTGCTGACACAATCCTCCACATAACATTGAGTACGACCGTAGTCACGACAAGCAACACGATAACCGCAGTTATCGCTGCCCTTATTCCCGGTGCCAGCGGCCTTGTCCATATAACGGCGAGAGGTACCACGATGAAAGAAACTAGACTAGCACCAACGATAATCCTACCAGGACGCGACGAACTGATCCACGTAACCATTGCTCTGTGGTTGGCAGCTAGTCCATGGGCTACCATATGTCCCGCCCATCGCACAAACATGGATGCTGGTACGTTTCCTTGTTTGAGGGGCTGGCGCTTGCTCTGGGCGTATATCGCAATGCTCTCTTTGTAAGCCTTGATCAACCGATGTAGCCAGGCACTCCTAATGGTGAGTCGAACAAGATATGAGAGAGCGATAAACCCAGTGCCCAAGACAAGAAAGATCCAAATCGGCGCTGGGGTGGCCAGTTGCTCGACTTGCATCCCAAACAGTGTGGCAGTAAATGATAAGGGGATGAAGAAGAAGGCTAGCTCTGTTAATTTTGTAACGGCCTGAGCTTCGGCAATAGATCGTCTGCTATCAAGTAAGGCCATATTTGAGGTTAGTGACGAGGACGCTATTTGAAGTCTTTGGATCATATCGTCAATCCCAGTTGATAGGTCTTTAAACTGGCCCTGAATGTCAGATCCTCCTTTCACACCGAGTAATTGGGTGAAAGTAAAGAATGATGTTATAGAACGTTTGAGTTCTGGCAACTCAAGCTGGGCCCGAGCTATAATCTGACGCCACATGACTACTCGATCCTCCATCTTCGCGTCACTTAGCATATCGAGGTTTATCTCGTCAAGAGTCTTGTGCAAGTGACTAAGTAGGTTTATCGAATCTTGTTGTATGATGTGATATAATGGCGTAGTTAACGCAAAATGATGGTCGTCTCTTCCCGGAGGCATTGAATCTAGCCATTGGCAGAACTCGTCCTTCGTAGACGTGGTATTAAACAGCTGGCGGCCCAGTTCATCTAAAAGTGGTGCGTGGCGAAACGCTTCATCGATACCAACTGCTATGTGCGCTCGCGGGACAATCTGTTGGAACACAGGATGTAGGCGTACTAGGTTAAGCACCTTCACCTTCACCTTCTCAAATGCCTGACTCAGTACAGAGGCGGCCTCATCGTCCTGCTTCCTATCCTTGCCACTTGGGTTCAACATTTTCTGTAGCTGTGTAGTACGTTTTTTAGAAGCACGTTGGGTTTGAAGCTTTTCAGCTAGCTTCCACAAATGTTCGGCGTCTTCCGCAGGATCAACAAAAGAATCATCAGAGTCAGAGCCGTCTTTGTCCGGGCGATAGACTCGCGCTGCTTCTACGACTTGCTCAACTCCTTCTTCTATGACTGGCAGTGGATCAAGGACTAGGATCACTATCATGGGGTAAGCAGTAGTTCTTCTTCTTCGGTTATTAGTCACCTACCAATATAACAATCTCTGCCATCAAGCTTTTGGCTCCAGATAGTAGCTCTCTCTTCCCATCCACAGATCCTATCATCTTCAGCTGTTATCGTTGGGTCAGTCCACATCTCCCATTCAGACCGAAATATATTCGACTGGGTTTGATATACAAGGCCATCTCTGTCGTAGTCTTCGCTGCGCTTCAAGCGACCCTGTGTCGGATCAAGGAGGACCTCCCGGTCCCGAGTAGAGTATGGAGGTACGGGACGTCTCTGTACGGGTCGATACCACTTAATAGATGCGTGTGATTTTTTCATCTTTGCTGTAGACCAGGTGTGTGCCGGCTTATCATCATAGTTCGCTCCCTCGTATCCTGAATTTATTAGGTGCTCCTCAAAAACTTCTGGGCTGAGTCCAAAGAGGTTCCCAAGAAGGTTGATAATCTGTGGCGCTAAATCCGGTACTATGAGTAGCCTTTGTTTGACGTTCTCTGGAATCTGACCAATTGCCCCAAGCCTACGTATATTATGGCTGTCGTTGCTACCAACAATAAACTCAGTTGGAGAATCTCGGAAATTGTCGGAAAAGTCAATAGATGTTATGTTTGCGACATTATTGTTGCGTGACGGTACGCCATCGAGGACCTTATAAAAGTGTCTGAAGACTGGAGACGCGCGGATAATCATATCCGAATACTTAAAATGGCGAAGGGTAGGCTCCATAATTGTCGGGAGAGCCTTGGAATTACGAGATGTATTTCCCTCTCTAATAATGGCGTCTAGAGATGATCTATCTTTCCATTTGATGTTTTGTGGATGTGATTGCCCACTTTCATCCCCGCTTAAACTATCAGAGTCGGAGTCTGGGAGTCGGATATTAGCTTCCGGGAGATCCAAAACCGATCCATTGACGCCATTTCGTCGTATTGCATCTATAGCATATTGATTCATTGATTTTCTTCGTTTCTTTTTTGGCTTTAATATCTTGAATGTAGAGGCTTTCAGGATCGGCCTGATTTCAATCCTTTCAAGGGGTCCCAAACGATATTCTGGGTGTTTCTTGGGATCTGAGACAATGAAGAAAGATTGTTCCCGTCGCCCCCCCGCCCCCGCCTCTCGTCTGTATACAGACATAGACTCATCTCCATCAGAATCCGAATCCGAATCGCTAGGATAGCCTGTGAAGTTTTCGCTGGCCTCCCTGCTGGATCTAGACATTGAAGCATTTCCTTGCAGCGCACCAGACATCTCAGGTGGTTCTGACCCCCTCATCCTCATAACGTGGCTAGGGAACAATAAGATGTTTCACACTCTCACTCAAATAACGAATGGTAGCTGACGATCTGGTGTGCCTCCGTTTCCCTAAGCTTGGGCAGTCGTCGTCTGGGCCATATTAACAGGTGGTGCTAGCCGCTGTAGTCTCCCTCGGCCACCAAGAACCAGAATTTATAACGTACCTCCTTTCCTAGGCGGGTGAACGAAAGGCATATCGGAGTCGTGGGGATTTTGAGGTTCAGCTGAGCTATCCCAATGAAGCTGCGCGTAATTTCCTTGACAGGGGTGTACGCCACCAAAACGGCAATCACGGGGGATTAGGTAGTTGCACGACGTTGCAAAATATCTTAGTGATAAAAGCCACAGTCTTTTTATCCATAACTACCTTTCTCTCATCCAGTGTTTAGTATGGATAAGTAGAAAGCACGATTGGTTGATATACACCGAAGAATACAACTGCCTCTTTTGTTTATCTTACGCGGGTACCTTCCCGGAGTTTGGGTTAGGCACAGGGGTGCGGGAAGGCACGGTCCGCTTGGCGCTATAACAAAAGATATCTCTACGAGAACCTCTAGTGAATAGAAATTATTTGCGAAATGCCTTGATTTATTTACAATGTTATTTTTATCAGGGGAGCCGCAGGAAAAAATGGCGGGTATGATGTGTATACTAGAGGGTATATGCTATGCATATGTATACTCGCGTGTAGTTGACTACTTGTAAATAAAATATTAAATGTCGACTGAATAATGTTAACTATAATACTACATGTAAATTATAATTGGGTTATAAGTCATCGTAACAGAAGGCGAGTAGCTTCAAAATTATCTTTCACAACAGAATCTACTAGACGACCTCGATTGAAGGACAGTAGGACAAGAGAGAGAAAGTTGAGATACTGCCTATCTTAAAAGCCTATAGAGAGGCTACGTATATATCTAAGAATTTAAATTGACAATTTAAACTGATACCTATCTTTTCTGTCCCATTTGTTAGTAGCTAGCTTATTTATTGTAGCCTTGAATAACCGAACACCTTTACCTAAATTGTAGTTGCTGTAATCGCTGTTGCTTTGCAACGCTCCTGTTTAAACTTGTAAGCATCACATGTGATGGGTAGGCACTATGAGGATTGAATGAGAATCGGATCTAGATTGATTTTGATTGAGCTGAATTACAAATATGCGGGTCTCAGCATCAAAATAAGCGTCTTGTTTGTGAATTGGCAAATACTTTACTTCATTGTTTCTGCTACATCCGAAATTGCTCAAATTGGTATTGCTTGCTTGACTTACTGACCCTCCACCACGCCCTTCGGCTCTCCAACCAGCACACCACTACCCCCCTCATTCAAACTCCCCATCGCACTCAACCCAGTTCCCTTCCTCTCCGTCACAGCCTTCATCCACCTCTTCGCGTTATCCCCCGGCACCCCCAACCCATCCAGCCCCAACACCTCCCTCAACTCCGGCACCTCTGCATGATCCCTCGTATTCTTCATCCGATGACACCAAACCACCTTCTTCTCCTCCTCCCCTCCTACCTTTGGCGTCACCGGGCTCGCCGCCAGCTCACCCACCGGTTCAAATAAGAACTCACCACCAACCTGCTGCATATCTCCGCCCACCAGCGCCCGTCCCACTGGAATCTGCTTTATTCCTTGCACAATACTGGCAAGGGTGCTGGCCACCATGCTGCGGCGCAGATACTCGGGCCGCGCGCCCAGAGCGAGCGTCCGGGTCATACCTAGCTCGGAGTATAGCTTCGCCGTTGGGTCGGAGTAGATGGGGAATTGGCACTCGCTAGCGTCGGCGTACATCTGGATTAGCGAGGGGGCACCGCAGCCGATGACGGCAATGAAGGTTGGGACGGGGAGTCGGAGGAGGTCATCGGGGGTGATGGAGGCGGAGAGGGCCTTGAGGTATTGTTGGCAGTTCTGGGGGGTGTTAGTGGGAATGGCGCAAGAAAGGGGAGGGGGACGTACGCCGCAGTAGAAGTGTCGGACAAATATCAAGAGCACACGGCGTGGGACGTTGGGGCCGGTGTATAGGGATTTGAAGGGGATGCTCTTCCCGTCGCGGTCGAGGACCGGGTAGTCCTCGATTTTCGAGAGGGTGGCTTGGGTGGGGAGGATGTTGTTGGTGTCGACGTCGCCGGCGAAGTCGAGGGCGGGCTCGGAGTTATGGCTCGAGGTGTCGAGGGAGATCTTCGGAGGGGGGGTTGATGTTGCTGGCGGGGCAGTTGTGGTTGTTGGTGCAGCGGCGGCGGTGAGAGCTGCTGGAGCGGAGTCTGTCGCTGCTGGGCTGGAGCCTGTTTGCGCTTCAGCTGGTGCTGGGATATGGGCGTCCGTGGTAGACATTGTTGGAGTTCGTGTGGTGTTGTTGCCAGGTCAGAGAGGGGGGGATGAAGTGCGATCTCAGATGATATGGGGAAACTCGCTATAAACTTCGAAACACACACTAACGAAGATCCAAGATGCAAGTCGCGAACAAGAGAAGATATACCTTAAAAGCTGCTCTTTTATTAGCACTTATAAAGGTAAAAGCCTAGTTTACTCTTTGTCCTTATTGGCGCGGAGAGATGGGATCGGGGTAGATCTCAAGGTCACAGATTCGTTTCATGTCATGACGTTGTGGCTGAGCAGTGCCTCCATACGCAAGTGGGACAAGGGACCAAGATACCCAGATGTTTGCCTGGGAGATCAACATCCAAGACATCGTCTCTCCGCCATCCCATTCCTTACAACCGCTCGTATAGCGGCTATATTGTTCATATATATAGATTCATTTCTAGGCGCTTACTGGCTTTGTGGAACGCGACGCGTCGACGAGGAAAGGCAGCACTTTGATTGTGCTTATGTAATCCTCTGGGCGTCGTCACTGATGCTTCTCGGCGGGCCGCAGCATGTGGGGATACAGCAATTGAGGCGTAGGTGTGGCAAATATTCCATTAAAAATAGGTGCTTATATTGAATAGTATCTAAACTATTTAATTAAGCATATATGTCTTCATAAAGATACTTTTAGCTCTACTTCAACCTGATATTTCGTCCCATTTCTCACATTTGGTGTACGGCGGCGGAATATTACTCCACCCCGTGATAGATCAGGATCGACACAGCCCTCACTTTTCGTGGGAACGAGTGGCTAGTTTCCTTGTAAGCGCCGAACAGAGGTTGACATGTGGCGGCGCCTGGTAAAACATGAGCGTCTGGATATAACTAGGAAAGGTAACCAATCCGAGTTTTTTTTGTAAATATAGCCCGAAATATAAGTAAGTACCTGATATACAGAGTCCAGAGACTCGTCCGAACATTCCGTACCTGAATTCCCCCCGCTCTCAAAGGAACCATACAGTATTGGATTGGACCCCACTCGGCTACAATAAGCAGCCACTCTAATAGTGGGGTACCCGTCGGATTTCTGAGAGGCCTTTATGTACGCCCCCTCTTGACTTCGCCCGCTCAATGACTGCCGCGCCGCCCTGCATACGTATAGTACATAAATAACTCCATAAATACAGTGCACAGAGTGCCGCCTAGGTTTCCTGATCTAAGTTCATCAGACGATAAACCCAAAATGACGGAGGCAGAAACAGTAACAGAGGAGAAGCGCTCCTCGTCACGCAGTAAGCTAAGCGGGTACCTGTAAGCACCCGCCTCCATCGCACCCGGCGCAAGTAGGAAATCTTACGCGATATCCAGAAAAGAAGGTCTCGAAAAAGGCAAGGAGGGAGCGCTGAAGGGCAAGATCGTGCTCGAACAGTCCCTCGGCCTTGGCCACAAGCCTAACGTGGTACCTCCCGGAGAGGCTAATATCAACGGGGAACTGCGCACCGTCCAGATCGGATGGCATCCCGTTGGGGGTCTGGGAGGCAAGTGGTTTGCGGAGAAGACGGGGCTGGGTAAGAAGATCACGGAGAAGATCAATAAGTATCCTGATCCGACGCAGCACTGGGCGGTGCTGGTGGGTGGATTCTGTCATGAGCTTTGGATGGTATGTTTAGTAGCCCCAACTGTAAATTTGGTTCTGGAATTGAAGTGTTTCATAGGACGAGCATTTGGATGTCATCTACATCAATGAGGTCGTCGTCAAAGATGAGTGGCACACGTATGAAGTCGGAACCACGAGATTCAACGACGAGGCGCTCAGACAAGCCGGTTAGTCTCCCCTCTGATATGGCTCCTATTGCCCAAGCCTCTAACACGCAGCTAAGGCGAGATGGTCATCCACAATATGAGAGCAACCAGACCAGCCTACAACATCATCAGCAACAACTGCCAAAATTTCGCCGTCCTCCTACTCGACGCCATCAAGATCGGCGCGCACAAAGAGTTCGCCACCAGCTTCGCCGTGTACCAGGCCGCCACTGGCGCGGGTCAGATCAAAGACCTATTCGTCGATCAGCATCCCGAGGAGCAGCAGGACCAGCAGCGTCCGACGTTGCATCATCAGGATACGACGCAGAATGCGCAGCAGGTCATGGAGGATAATACGACGAAGTTGGATAATCACCAGTCGTCGTTCTTCTCTAGTGTCAAGGATAGAGGGACATCCCTTAAGGATAGAGGGCTGTCGATGTTTTCCAAGGGGGACAGTCCGAAGGATGCCTAGAGCGACTAGATGGTGTAGGTGAACATGGGAGTATCCCGCTGGTGCGAGGCCTAATGAGGAGTAAAGGTGGTGGTTGAGCATTCTGAGGTTCTGCTCGGATGCGAGATAGGGGAGATGGACAAGAGACGGCGTGCTTGGCAGCGAGAAGTTGCCATATGATAAGATACCCATGTTCGAAATGAATAAAATATTGAACGATATTGACGCCCCCTTGGTTCGTGTTCCGACATAATAGTGCATTGCAAGATGGCGTAAAGAGGGAAGCAGCTTGTTCGCGATCATCAGTTAAATCATATATTCTATGTTTAGCACATAACCAACGCCAAAAATCAATGCCCCATCACCCCAACCCCAACCTGACCCCTATCAATCCGAATGCCCCGGCTTCCCCGTGAGCACTCCATCACTCTGCCTCTTCCTCCTCTTCCCCAGGACCTCAACAAAGTACTCGCTGAGCGTAAAGCACCAGTGCCCCGCGACCAGCACGCCGCTCAGGATATTCACGACCTTGATAGTGAAGCGGAGGAAGCTGTCACGACGCTCCTCGATCGTCAGCATCAGCGGCTCGATGTCGTACTTGAAGAAGATGCCGGGCACGGTGCGCTCGTCGATCTTGCGGTCCTCGTGTGTGACGGCGTACTGGTTCGTGAAGATGGTGCGTTTTGAGGAGAGGGGGTTGGGTGACGAGACGGTGTAGATGGTGGGGACGACGGACATGAAGTATTGAGACTTGTGGAATTGGTTGGCGGTCGTGATAACGGTTTGATCGAGGGGGTTGACGAGCTTAGGGTAGAAGGCTCCGAAGGAGAATTCGGAGACGATGTGTGAGAAGTTGAAGCCTGGTAATGAGTCAGTAAGAACCTGGGTGTAGCAGGTGTGAAAGCCTCATTGCCTCCCCATACTTACTGCTGTGCTCCAAATGTTTCGTCCCAAACGCTTCCTGGTATCCGTGTCCTCGAGCCGTGACATGGAAGTCGCCCTGCACTTTGTTGAGCATCATGCTTCCAAATATCCTGCAGCTATCTCCGTCCCGAGGATGGCCCTTAATCTTTGGCGTCTTGGCCCACTTGTTCGACCGCATCGCCGTGTAGATAATATCGTGGACATGCTCCTCTCCGAAACCCTCATCATGTCCATCTTCCTCCCACCCCTCATCAGTTATAATACTCCCATCCGCATTGTGTCCTAGCTGATGCTGCCCCTTCACGTTGACCCACTGCAGCCAGTTCGTGAGATCCGTCTTGAGCACCTTCGACGCCAGGATTCGGTCACCCGACGCATCCTGCACGTTGATATGGATATCAGGACAGCGCATCGCAACCACCATGTCCAAGTTGACCTGCAGGTCACGGCTGACGAACTTCTCGACCTCGAAGGTGTGGTCCTCGTTCCCGCGCCACCAGCGCCCCAGCTCAGAGAACGTGAGCAGCGCCGAGATGATCAGCATCAAGACCGTCCACTTCCCGCCTCCAGAGGTTTTCGTGACATATTCCGGTTTGGATTTCGCTGTAAAGGGTTACAGTAAGCAAGGTGTTTCCCTGAGCAGCCAATTCGCCGCGCGGCTCGAGGTGTGCGAGCCCAGTAATTGGATAGAAGGGCCGGAAGTGCCGTTTGTATGACAATGGAGGAGAAAACTCACGGAATGCATCGAATGCTGAGACTATGCTCCCCTTCTCCGCAAACCTGTCCTCATCCAGACCGTGACTCGCGAAGCCGTTCATCGGGGGCGACGTTCGTTGCTTCTTGGGCGCATGCGCTTCGTTGAAACGCTGCCCTGAAAATCTTTATGCCTGTTCCCCCTTCTGCGAAAATTTCATCGTCAATTGGAAAAGAGGCGCAAAAGGGTATTGGTCTCGGGGACTTTTACTGGTATCATATTTCGAAGAGGACAGCTTTGGGGAAAGAGGGTAGATGGTCTGTGCGTTATATTATCCCGACAAGGCTGAGGGGACACAGCACGGCATCGACGCCAGCCACTCCGCCTCAGAAATAGATGGACGAAATAAGAATTTCTCTAGTATGCTTATATTCGACTAACTATGATATTATGACTATTATTAAAGTAACTTGCGCGCTTTTTCAACACCTACAAGCCTAGATTCGAGAACATGGATTCCTGGATCCTCGAATATCTCAAACCCATCCACGAGTAACTCACAGACATATACCACCCTACTCTTTCCATTAAACACGTAACCATAACCACATAACCGCGTAACCACATAACCCAACCCATCACTTCCGCCAAGCCACAACTGCTCAATGTTGTTAGGTCGCATTCTGTGCCTTGTTTTTCGTTGAACTAGCCAGGCCAACCCCAAGACCAACGCCAAGGGCGATAGCCAGCACAATAAGAACGCAAATGAAGAAGCACCACCACTTGAGCTTGTTGCGGTTTTTGGCATGGACAATAGCCTTACCGACCTGCACGTTCCCACTCTCGAGGTCCTGTGTCGCATGCTCAGCATTTGCCTCTGTGCGCTCAACGAGAGGCTCCTGCGCGACAACGAGCTGGTCCATTTCATTGAAGAGAACGGCCAGCTCAGTGATCGTGCGCTCAATGCGCTGGAGCTCGTCGTGGCGGGCCTTGACAGCGCCTAGAGCCGATTGTGCTTGACCGCGGCGGTTGTTGAGCTGAATTATCGTTAGTCTCATGAGTTACTAGCGGATCGCGAATACTTACCGCCATCTGGAACACATTCTGGCTGTTTGGGTCATTGGACGCATCGGCGACCGCGGCAAGTTCGGTGTCGGTAGCATCTGGGTTCACAATGAGGTATTGTCTCCGGATCTGCTCCTGTCTCCTTGTCCTGTAGTCGCGCTCCACACCCTGATACTTCGTGAGCTTCAACTGAAACTCCTTCTTCAGCGGCGCGATCTGGGTGAACTTCATGTTCTGCGTATCATTCCTCGTGTTGGCCGCATCTTGCTCTAGGTTCTTGATCAACCTCTTGAGCTGCTCGTTTCGCGACAGCGTTTCCGACTCAAGCTGCTGGAGGCCTGGCCCGAGCTCTGCTGCCGACGCGGTGTCTGTTGCATCGAGTAGGCGCTGATGAAACCTGGCGACTTCGGCCATGGAGGTATCGAAGCCTCTGAGAAGGTCTCTAATGACCGCGACCTGGTCGAGGAACTCGCGCTGAGTACGAGGCTCGACGTATGTACCACCCTGGGTCGCCTGGACAGGCGCGACCGACATATTCCTCAGTTCGGTAGATTCGCCTTGCGTGTATGGGTCCTGTGATAATGGTCAGCGAATGCGAAAATCTGGCATGGTAGCTGGATCATACACCTAGAGATACATCATATCCTGGCGTCGAGCCACCGTGTGGGTTTCCTCCAAATTGGTCGTACTGTGCATAAGACATTACTTTGCGCCTTTGAGAACCTTTTTCTCCTATTCAATGGCAGATGCTGTTGGATTTATTATCGTTGCGCGACAAACGATCAGCTTCGAACGTCAGACGAAGCGTAAGCTTGGGGGCGTAGTAATAACGCCGGGCCTCCGGATAATTGGGATCGTAATACGGCGAGACGAAGGTTTGCGGATTGCGATTGACTAATGGAGGTATTTAAAAAGATGGTGAAGATGCGATTATATACGATTTAAATGTATATTAATGATGAAGATCGAAGATTGAAGATGGCTTTTCTATCCTCTGAATCGCACTCTAGGTAACAATGTTTCTCTCGTTACGATTGGCCTTATCATAACGTCACGTTGCGACGATCATCGTGGAAAGTGGCTCAAAAGGGTTCAGCCGCCACTAAAGGTTAAAACTTGCGTCACCCAGCCACAGCCCGCCCACGACACGAATACACGAGTAAGGATCTGATGCGGCGAATAAAAATTAAAATAGTCGTGAGTCCCAAATACCGATTTTGAAAATTGGATTGGAAATAAACAGATTTAAACATGAAACCCTAATGTACAGCTTCAATTGAGGCAAATCCTAGAGCTGTAGTATGCACTTCAACCCCACACTTTGTTCCACCACATCACGTGCGGAGGGACATTAGCACACAGACAGTGGAGGCTGGCGGCCCAGACCACTAACTTGGCATGCAAGGCTACGACAAACCGTGGGGTTTCACGAAATACTATATGAAGGTTACAAATTATTGTCCCAATGGATGTAGAAGCTGAATATCGGCACATAATGTTCTTCATAGCTGCATTCCGTACATGGTACTGTCTATGTAATCCTTGATTTACCACCCAACAGCGTAGCGCAGTCGTGCTATGCACAACGAAGGCCTGTCACTGCCAAACTATGCAGCCTTCCGCAGAGGACGGAAAGCATGGCAGAGGCAATTCGCTCCATTGTGTCTCAGTCCAACGGTGTATAAGCTTCTGCGTTGACCTCTTTGAGGCCACTTCGGAATCGCGTTTTGCAGTATGCCCGATATGCATACAGGAGGGTTTCTCCTGAGACTACCACGCAGCGTTGGCTCAAAGGACGCCCAGGGAGCTGGCACTTATATCAAGATGAAGTGCCGCCATATGCTCTCAAATTCGCCATCAAGCCAGCCTTTTATATGCACTGCCGATTGCCCCTACCGTCGCCATGCCCTTCACCGTATACGCTCCGGTTGTGGTCGACGAGGCAAGCAGGATTGCAGCAACAATTTGGGCGTTTCCCTGGATAGTTGACACTGTACGCGGCTGGGCGCTTCTTATCATGACGGTGAGGGGGTTGTAGTGAGAAATTTCCGTTTTCATTCGTAAGTTGTCCTACCGATTCCCCAACGCCGCGCTATGTAGGTCCATCACCCTTCCTCACAGATAATCTTTCTTCTTACTCGTCCTAGTGTATTGGTTCATCCTCCACTCGACGTCGCCATCCTTATTCTCCAATGTGCCGCCGCGGATCTCGAAGCACCTCATGCTCATACGCGGGCCAACCTCTGCCAACTCCACACTCTGGTATCCGGTCTTGACGAACACATGATGTCGCACCTCGATCGTATCTTCGATGTTCTTGAAGGTTACAACCCTGCTTCCGAGTTTTGTCCTGTTTGTCACCGCCTCACGGGGAGGGAAGATATGCTTCAAGATCTTAACAATGCGCTGTCCGAGACGAGATGTGAACCCCTCGAAGATGAGGTGGGGGTATGACTCGCTGACGGTTCCACGAGAGCTGTTTGGGATATCATGGCGCAAGACGACGTTATGTAAAGAGAACGAAATTGTTGGGCCGTGAGGGAAGTGCGACAGTGTCATGGCTGTGGGCGTTCCGCGATGTTCGTGGAGCAGGATCATGTCGGAAAGTCCAGAGGCCTGGGCGGACTGGATCAGATTCCCCAAAACCAAATTTCCTCTGTTTAGACGAATGGATGTAGGGAGAAGTAATCTAATCTCTTTGGCAAAGGACGATAGGCGCGAGGAGGGATCTCTTGACGTTGTGACTAGAACTCGTGGATCGACAATTCCGGAGAGTTGCGCATACTCGTCGTCCAAGTCCAGCTCCTCATTTGCCGTCAAATCAGCCCGGGACTCATCGTACTTGTAATCCTCTCGTAATTTCTTGTCGTTTGCAATCTCGGGAGCAAGCGGTTTGCCTGTGGCGAGTGATGCCCTTAACTTCGAGCGTTTTTCTGAGGTTTCTGCATCGCGAAGAGTTATCGCGCGGCGATACAAATAGTCTCGCCTTTGTCGGGCTTGTTTGCGCTATAGAAGTGATTAGCCTCAATACCGACATGATTAGAGATCTATAAGGAGGTTAAGTACGTACCAGCATGGTGGATGTTGTTGTCGAAAGTTTTTTTGATGTGAGAAGTTCGCCAACAATATAAATTCTTAGCTCAAGCCTTTCATGCGGCTGGATGTCATTTTTGCCGAGCACTATCGCGCCGCTACTGTAATCTGCATTTGGCCTTTCCCTCGAAATCTTAGAACAGCTTTGATTCCGCCACAATTCCCACTCGAAGCTCGTCAAAACTTCCGTCACGTCTGAGGAAGTTTAAAATCACTATCAGGTTCACGAGCATGACTTGAGACGCAACGCGCTTCTGGACCCTATATTCCCCGCGGTTACGCCACAAGGCTGATCAGTGAGTATTCTGACCACTACCGCGACTCGCGGCAACCACGAGCAAGCCTTTGAGGACAGAGGCTAACTTTTGTTGTGTCTGCAGGCGCCTTATAAAATTTGCACTCCTCAGATACAAGCCCGACAAGTATGGAGGGCGCCTTTACCCATCTGGGAAACCACCTCATCTCAGACTCCGCCGCTGCGATTAATGCTGGAGACGATTTGTCGGCTATCGACCCCGAAGAGAGCCTCCTCTACGGCCAGTATGGAGGCGCGGGAGGCCTCGGACCTACTCGCCGCAGAAATGACGATGATGACAACGAGACCGAAGTCTACGACGACGACGATGTAGAGAGCCTCGCAAGCATGGCCGTCGACGGCATGAAATCTCTCGGACTCAGAGGCGTCGAAGACGAGAAGGAACTTCCGGCTCATGCATGTGCCTACTGCGGTATCCATTCGCCCAGCAGCGTTGTTAAGTGCTTGGGTTGCACCAAATGGTTCTGCAGCGCCCGTGGCAACGCCTCCTCATCGCACATTGTCAACCATTTAGTTCGAGCTCGCCACAAGGAAGTTCAGCTGCATCCTCAATCAACACTGGGCGACACTGTTCTCGAATGCTACAACTGTGGGACTAAGAATGTCTTCCTTCTTGGGTTTATTCCGGCGAAATCCGACACCGTGGTTGTGCTGCTCTGCAGACAGCCCTGTGCGTCTACACCTTCGTCTAAAGACATGAGCTGGGATATCTCTAGATGGCAGCCTTTGATTGAAGACAGATCCTTCCTTCCGTGGCTCGTGGCTGTGCCCAGCGATGCTGAGCAGCTCCGTGCTCGCCACTTGACCCCGCCAATGATCGCAAAACTAGAGGAAATGTGGAAGGATAACGCCGCGGCAACCATTGCAGACTTGGAAAAGGCAGCAGGAATCGACGATGAACCAGCTCCCGTACTTCTGAAGTACGACGACGCTTACCAGTATCAAAACGTCTTTGGACCGCTTGTGAAGATTGAGGCAGACTACGACCGCAAGCTGAAGGAGGCCCAATCCGAGGACGGACTTGTCATTCGCTGGGACTATGGTCTTAACAACAAGCATCTTGCCAGCTTCGTGCTTCCTAAAATTGAGCTCGGAGATGTCAAGTTGGCTGTTGGCGACGAGATGCGTCTCAAATACAAGGGAGAGTTGCGCCCTGTCTGGGAAGGCGTTGGATACGTTGTCAAGATTCCAAACAACCAGTCTGACGAAGTCACGATCGAGTTGCGAAAAATCGGAAACGATAAATCCGTGCCAACTGAGTGCACCCACAACTTCTCCGCTGACTACGTCTGGAAGGCTACTTCTTACGATCGTATGCAACTGGCCATGAAGACCTTTGCAGTTGACGAAATGAGTGTCTCTGGTTATATCTTCCACAAGCTACTTGGCCACGAAGTTGCTGCGGCGCCAATGAAGATTCAAATGCCAAAGAAATTCAGCGTTCCCGGCCTTCCCGAGCTGAACGGCAGCCAAATCAATGCCGTCAAGAGCGTCCTTCAGAAGCCCTTGAGTCTTATTCAGGGACCTCCAGGAACTGGAAAGACAGTCACATCTGCAACAGTCATCTACCATCTATCTAAAGTCAATGGTGGCCAAGTTCTCGTCTGTGCTCCTTCCAACGTCGCAGTTGACCAGCTCTGCGAGAGAATCCACAGAACCGGATTGAAGGTTGTGCGTCTTACTGCCAAGTCCCGTGAAGATGTCGAATCTTCGGTTGGCTTCTTGTCTCTGCACGAGCAGGTACGAATGAACGATAGCAACCTCGAATTGACCAAGCTCTCGCAACTTAAAAGCGAATTGGGTGAATTGTCCAGCCAGGATGAGAAGAAGTTCAAGTCTCTTACCCGGGCCGCTGAGCGCGAGATCCTGAACAACGCCGATGTTATCTGCTGTACTTGCGTTGGTGCCGGAGACCCCCGTCTGTCTAAGATGAAGTTCCGAACTGTGCTTATCGACGAGTCCACCCAATCTGCCGAGCCTGAGTGTATGATTCCATTGGTTCTGGGCTGTAAGCAGGTTGTTCTTGTGGGTGATCACCAACAGTTGGGCCCAGTCATCATGAACAAGAAGGCAGCAAAGGCTGGCCTGAACCAATCGCTCTTTGAGCGTCTTGTCATTCTTGGACTTGCTCCTATCAGACTTAACGTGCAGTATCGTATGCATCCTTGCTTGTCTGAGTTCCCTTCAAACATGTTTTACGAAGGCTCTCTTCAGAACGGTGTCACGATGCAACAGAGACTCCGTCGCGACGTCGACTTCCCTTGGCCTGTTGGTGACACCCCAATGATGTTCTGGTCCAACCTGGGTAACGAAGAAATTTCTGCTTCCGGTACTTCTTACCTTAACCGAACTGAGGCGTCCAATGTCGAGAAAATTGTCACGCGCTTCTTCAAGGCTGGAGTTCAGCCTGCTGATATCGGTGTCATCACACCCTACGAGGGACAGCGCAGCTACGTCGTCAGTTCTATGCAGAACACGGGCACTTTCAAGAAGGAGAACTACAAGGAGATCGAGGTTGCATCCGTCGATGCTTTCCAAGGCAGAGAGAAGGATTTCATCGTGCTTTCTTGCGTTAGATCCAACGACCACCAAGGCATTGGTTTCTTGAGTGATCCTCGCCGTCTTAACGTGGCTCTTACCCGTGCCAAGTACGGCCTTGTCATTCTGGGCAACCCCAAGGTTCTGTCCAAGCACCCTCTTTGGCATTACCTCCTCCAGCATTTCAAGGAACGCAATTGCCTGGTTGAGGGGCCACTCACCAACCTGCAAACCTCGCTTCTGCAGTTCAGCCGCCCTAAGACCACCTACCGCGGACCTCAACGCTACCAGATGTCTTACTCTACCGGACTACCAAGCAATGCACGCCCTCCTAATGGCAAGACTGGCAACGATTACAGCGACGCCGGTTCTATGCTAGGCTACATTCCCGATGACGTCTCGTCCGTCCACTCCTCCGCCCTCGGAGGAGTCGGCGTCGGCTCAGCCTACCCGCAGATGTTCTCCAGCTTCGCAGCTGACAACAGCTGGCCCGGCCTAGACCCCCGCAACCGCGCCAACGGCCAAAAGGGCCGCAACCGCCCCGCCGAAAGCGTAACCGGTGAATCCGTTGCCGCCAGCGAGATGACGGACACCACTAGCAGCGTACTTGACGGTAAAGGCGCAAGCCAAGGCGGCGTTAGCCTCGGGCCCGCAGTCCACGACCAGAAGCAGACGAGCCTGAGCCAGTCGGACCGCCTGAAGCGGTACGTCGAGTCTGGCGGACGCCTGCCCGACTACAAGACCGGCGACGCTGGGAGCGTGTTCGGCGGCAGCTCGCTGCTGAGCGGCGCTGGACGACGCACCCTGGACGACGATGAGAAGAGCGTGTCCACTGCGTTTGCGAGCCAGGTCGGCGGGGGCTACGACTGATTGGGCGGGGAGCGGTCGAATGGACCTTTTAAACCTTTTGTCTTCGGAAACACGTAGCACCCATCTATCCAATCGATGCAGCGTCTCGACGCAGCCTAGCTGGACGACAGCCAGTGCCCTGCGGGCCCTCGCGGGCCCGGAGAGGAGCTGAGGAGCGTGGTGGCCACATTTGCTGAGCCGACTCGTGGCGATCTTGGAAGGAGGGCTGGAATGGGGCGGGGACGATATACGGGAGGGGGACGATGCGAGGGGGTGTGTGTGCAATGTGTGCAGAGTTGATTTTACGATGTATGTGCTTGTTGGAGGGAAAACGGTGGGATGTGTTCCACGCATGCTTTGCGCTGCCTAGGGATAAGTGACAGTTGAGGCCTAGGCCTGTCCGGATCACTGTCTAGGGCGCGGCGTGGGTGCAATTTCTCGCGATGGGAGGATCTAAAGGACGCCTTAGAGATAGACAATACACATGTTCCACCAGCTTTGGTATTGGTCTTTGGTTGAATTGTTTGTTTTGTAGATCGAAGTCAGATGCAAGTGAGACACACTCTCTCTGACCGAGGAGCTGTATTGTATGATATGTACATCACGACGCAAGGGACAAATTGCAGGTGGATTTAATATGATCGGATGGGGTAACCGACGACCATCTTGGATAGGATATCAGATTACATCAATCCGCCCTTCCCTTTCGAGACTGCAAGGGGGAACGCCTACAGCAGAATACGTGAACTCATTTTACCAAATTAATCTTACCTGTATAATCTTTTTGCCGCATGTAGTCCTACAAACACCAGCACAGACAACATCAAAGTCTTCCACTTGTATCCCACGGTACCTGACTGATCGGAACATCAAGTCACGATACCCTCACCTCTCAATCACCGACCCGCACCCAACTAACCCATCTCTCACCAGCTAACGCCTCCCTTCATCAGCCCAGGCGTCTTCTAGCGCCAGGCACAGCATCGCTCGCCACGTGCTAACTGCATCCACATCTCCCTCCGCTATCTGACCGCGCATCGCTTCCCTGCGTCCTCGCCGTCGCGAACCCCGGAGTACCACCGAGGTCCCCCTCAGACCCTCAGCCCTTGCGTGCCCAGGTACTACTGTACGGTACATACCGGGCATGTTCTACTCGCCCTCACCTCAGCGTAGCAGCGCGCACACGCCCTCCGCAAATCCGCAGCCAAGGTCGCAGCGCCATGCACGCAACCCACCCGTTCGCTCCGTCTAATATATATTCCCCGGAACACGAGATGGGGTCTGGCCGCGGGGTGGGGATGGAGGGATGGATGGAGGGGGTAGGGTAAGGTAAAGTTCGAAACGCAGCGCCGCGGACCGGGGGATTTTTGGGTAAGGAATTGCTTGGAGGCTTGCGACTGGATGCGTTGGGGATAAGCAAATACTATATACTACTATATACTACTATACCGTGGTGCTGGGGATGGAGCGGCGGTATTGCGAGTTGCGGCGTGGGAGGGCTGCGAGGGGATGCAACCTCTTGTCTCATGATCCCGGCTCGGTGCGCTGTAGAGATGCAAGGGTGGATTTCGATATTGTACCTGTCGTCTTGGTGATGAGTGGTTTTGGGGATTTTTTGCACGGCACGGGAGACCGTGCGAGATGGGAGATTTTTTGGGGAGATTTTTGCAATGCGAGGCTCTTGGAGCTGTGGTGAAGGTAGCTAGAACGGTGGGGCATTTACGAGAAGGGCTAGGGGACTACTGAAGGGTTTGCTTTTTTGTTCCTTCTGGATTGGATGGCTATGGCTACAGACTAGAAGGAATTGTTGAGCGAGTTAGCTAGGAGTTTAGGGCAGAATGCAAGGGGTCCGAGGCTCGTGAGAAAAAGCAAGGAGAGTTGCTTCTTCTCGAAGGACCCCACACGATTCCTTCCATCGTGCCCACGAACCATGAGGCGCAACGGCGACGTTCTGGTGCGGAGTTGTTCGGTCGGACAGACAAGGCTGGGCAGATCCACCACATCCCGATTACCTTAAGCTCGACCCCCCAGCCTCGCTGAGCGGTAACGCCGTTCGCGCTGCTGATCGTCATGAGGCGATCAGCCATCAGACTGGGCAATTAAATCTGCCGATCGCGGGCGCATGAGACATTGATTGGACGATCAGCAGGGACCGCCGTCTTGTCTCTCCAACATGTGGAATGGGAGTGACTCTGGAAGCCTGGCAGGATCGAGGGATCTGGGACAGCGGATCTGCGCGCCGCGAAGGGGACGCTGGAAGCGAGAGAGTCCGAGACACACAGTAGCTAGGCCGAGGGAGTCGGTCGCCAGGGCGCTGAAGGGAAGGTGTCGTGGAGGGTCCAAGTCCCGGACGAATAGGGGCGCGGGGTGGCGGGCTATAGAGTGGCGACTAGCCCGAGACACGGCGGATGGCGTAAGGAGAGAGCGATCGATTGGACAGGGGATGTTTGCCGCAGGTTCGGCGAGGGGCGTGGGAGGGGGAGAGGGGGTCTTGATGGGGAAGTGCTCAGCTTGTCCGGCTGCAGGTCCTTTCTGAGTTTGGAATTACAGTTTCTCAAATCGGGTCGGTGGGAGGAGGCTAAGGGGATTATTGACTGTTGGAGTGGGCTTGATTTGGAGAGTGGCGCTGACATGAGCCTGTGAGGCTGGGAATCAGTCGTGTGTGCTGTAACTACCGTGTGTAGTACAGTACCATAGCGGTATTGTTGTACCACAGTTCGGCGCTGTTTCCTGTACTACTTAGCACGGTAATCAAGCTGTGTTGAGTGCACGTGGAGCGGAATGGCGCACTTGTGTTGCATCCCACGATGGCAGACCTGTGGTTCGTTCTTGGTCGGAAAGCCGCAGCGCCGCTGCAAGCGCAGAGAGCAGAACGAAGTGGGTTTTTCCTCCGATCCAGTAATATGGGCTGGATGCGACTTTATATCGCAACCTTGAGTTGAAACATTTGACGTCCCCGGGGGTCAATTGCTGTGGGCGAGTCAGTGTTGTGTTTCATGCTCGTCCGTGGATGGTGGGACGACGGAGTGGTGTGTGGGTAATATGGGTAATATCGTAAGTAGTGCAGATTTGGCCCGACGCCTACGGAATGTGGTCCCCCTATTTCACTTCCCCTTTGGGACGACATGAGACCCGATAAGACACAGATGAGCAGGAGGGAGGAGCAGACGGCAGTTTGGATATGCAGATATGAGGATCTGAGTGGCTCTATTAGGAAGTGAGTAGTACTGGCCCATGTGCCCATATGGGTCAGGTTTGTATGAATATCGCCGTGTGGTTGATGCCCTTATAGGTTTGACTTGTTCGATTTGGTATGGTTTTTATGGTTTTTATGGTTTCTGGTATGTGTTATTACTCCGTCTAGCAAGGTATAAGGGATGAGAGGGGGAGGGAAGGGACGGGAAGGGGTGGAAATGGTGGAAGGGGGACAGACCAAAATGCTAGGTTCGACAGAGGTACCTTGGTGTGTATGCTCCACACGCCTGTGCCGCATGTACCTTTGTCCTATATTCCACACCACCGGCATGATATCAACCAGGTCAACCAGGTCAGGCCAACCAGGAGATATTGCTTGATGCAGGTGAGGCCATTGAACGGGGAGTCTGTGCCCCTCCGAGTGACCTGGCGATCTTGTACAGTAAGGAGTAGTTCTATGTATCTGTCAGTAGTCTATTCAGTAGTATTCAGTAGTTTGTCAGTAGTAGAATGAGTAGAGAGACACAGTCTCGGAGAAAGACCCAGACAGACCCTGATCAAATGTCACTTTGCTACATATTCCCTGAATCGAATCAAGACAAGCCCGACAAGACACAGGTGGTCCCCAAGAGTTCCAGTTAAGAGGGTCTGTAGTCCCTCAATTAATTCTTCTTGACGACGTTTGGCCTCAACTCCCTTTCGCAACTTCACTTCCTCTTCACCACAACAAACACAGTGTGCGCGCGCAGCACATCCACCGCTAATTCCTTGGGTGTCGCGCCAAATAACGACTTCACCTTGCACAAATAATGGCTTTCCCGATCTGAGAGTCGCATTTTAATTATACGCACATAACAAACATTACACACATAACACAACATTCTCGCCGTTCATTCACTCGCAACGGTAGCTTTATACGGTACGTTCGCCCTCTTTTTTCCTTTCATTCACAGTCCGGCGCGAAGGACCCTAGCCACCCATTGGCCGCGACGCGAGCACTCGCCTGCATTATCACAAAACTCCAGCGAAATCCAAGGTCCAATCTGGTGCCAGAGGAGCATAATTTGCTTGGAGTGGTTGGGATCGCCGATTCTCTCAGAGGGCCTCTAAATCAGTCGTGTGTTCACGGTGTTTACGCTGTTTACGAAGCACTCGCTGTGCAAGCAGCGCAAAACACAAATTCACTTCCCTCCTAACCCCCACTCCCTCAATTGATGCTGGCAGCGCATCAAACACAGGAAGTTTGCTCAGTCGGCACTCTGACTGCACTTGGTCACTGCACCGGGACGGCACCTGGGGGCGATCATACAGCGGTCTCTCAATAGTGAAATTGGGTTACCCCAGATCAGTGGAGCAAAAGTGGCTAACTCTGGACACCTCCATGCAGACTTGCGATTCTTCCTTATATTGACTCTCTTACCTTCAATCGAAACAACCTCACGACTTATACAACTTGCAACTTTGCTTGATCAAAGTTCAAGATAACTCGGAATACGACTGCTCCTTCTATAAACGAGGGAGGCGGCGCAATTGACGTCCTGGCGCCCCACTGTAGTGCCGATCCTCATTTCTCGATATGGCTTTCTCAGGATTTACCTCGCCTACAGGGCTCGACAATAGTAGTGTCACATCCTCGACTCTGAATAGAGCGAGGTCTCACAGCATCTCCAGTGATCAACCCTCTGCAAACGGGTACAGCGCGATGCTTTCACCACCAACACTCGTTCAACCGCAGCCGCTCTTTCTTGCCATTTCTGCGGCCTCACAGATCGTGACAAACGACCATGATAGCCATTCCGAAGCCTGGTTTGATCAGCATGGCCTCGAACCTTCAGGAGAGACCGCCTTGGTCAACCCAGGGGCCCTGAAGCTCGTAAACAACTTTCTCGATCAATTACTCTTCAACTTTCTCGCCATCTCGAAATCAACATCTCTTGCTTCGCTTAGACCCGCCGTTGTCGAAACCCTAAAGCCAAAACTTGCAAAGGAGGCAATTCACCAAGCCGACCAAGAATTGGAGGAATACTTGGGCGGTGGTGACGACGAAGAGCTTATCTCATTTCACAATGGCATTGAGCCGAGTGGAGACTGGGATTTAGAGCTGGTATGGAAACGCACACGTCTACGCTGCATGGTGTATTCATCACTGGGCGATATGGAAGAGGAGGATGAAGATCACTACACAGAGCTGGAACACTTGGATGGCCCTCCAGGATCTACCAACAGATACTCTAACTCGTTAGGCGTGGTCTCACCTGCAGTTGCCATTTTCCTGACTTCAATTCTCGAATTTATGGGCGAGCAGGCATTGACCGTAGCAGGACAGGCCGCGTACCACCGCATGCGCTCAAAGCAGCAAAAAGATGAGAGAGATGGAAGCAGCGTCCCCAAGCATGTGGCGGATCGTGTTATTGTCGAGGATGTCGATATGGAGCGTGTTGCCCTGGATAGGACACTTGGTAGACTTTGGAGAGGCTGGAAGAAACGCATACGCTCCCCAAACGCATCTATTTCACACAGCGTTCGCCGATCTTACTCTAGAGACTCGATGCAATCACGTCCTCACAGCCGAAGAGGCAGCCTCGCCCCAGAGCAACAAGTTCCCGAAATCAACCATAGATTCCAGGACACTCCGATCAACGAGCCCGAAGAGGAAGACGAGAACCACCCACAACCGACGGCAAACGACGAGGAACCCGTCCTTTTCGAAGCGACCATCCCACTTCCAATGGGCGAGGATGATGTTAGAGAAATCGAGATACCCGGAGTTGCAGAGCAGAGTGGAGATGAGGCAGATGATGAGGTGGACGAGCCCAAGCAATCTCGCCGCAAGAGCATGATGATCTTCACAGCCAATACCAAAGGTCTTCCTACACCGATCAACTCACAACCCGCAACACCCGGTTTCCTTTCTCCCAAGTCGAGAAAGCGATCCCACTCGATGCCATCTCCAGCGGCCTTGGCTTTTGCTTCGCCAATGAAGAGACGCAAGTCAACCGACGAGGACGAAGAACCAGCCGTGGAACAAGACACGGAATCCGAAATCCCAGCACTTTCTGAAAACGTGTCGCAAGACTCCGAGGATACCTATGTCTTGGCCACCAAGGAGCCTTCCAAGGAGTCGAAGATCGTATCTCAAACCCCGAGAGAATTGGAGCCTGAGAAGCCATCTAAATCAGAGACCGTCCCACACTCTAGAAATGCGTCACAGAGTTCTCACAAGGGTGGATTGATTGCCGGAGTTGCTGCTGGCGCTGCTGCAATCGGAGCTGCCGCTGTGGCAGGAATTGCCGCAGTTAAACACCACGACAAAACCTCGAAAGTTACGAAAGAAGACGAAGATGACATTGATCTGACAGAGTCAGCCGAAGAACCACAAATCATGACTTCATCTCGTGTATCGATCGGCGATATCCTTGCTCTCGACACGAGTCGAACCCGATCTTGCGACTCCAGTGCCCGTTCCGCGAGCGTTCGTTCTAAGCGATCCGCCAGCGTGCACTCGATCCGCTTGATTGAGGTGAATTCGCCTCGCAGCCCAAGCTCACGTCACGCATCTGGTGATCTTACTTCACGTCCTCCGAATGTAAAGGGCGCTGAGGGTACAGATGCAGCAGCTTCGCGTGGTACCAGCCCTGTCCAGAAGACACCATCAGGCAGCCCCATACTCAAGGCCCCATCTCCTTTGATCAACCAGGTCAGCAAGGACTCGGAGGCTTCTCTACCAGAAGTTGTTGAGCCTGAAAACCTGGGACTGGGATTAGATGGCGTCACCGTTCCTCGATCTCTCCCGGTGCCAGTCCGCTCTCCCCTGCGCGAAAGCCCGAAGACCAAACTTACCTCGGAAGCATTATCTGTCCAGGATACTCAGTTTGCTGCCACATCACAGGGTTCTTATGGTAACTCGGAATTTGTTCTCGGCTCAGCACCTCGTCCAAAATCTACACGCGACGCTGATTCTCTCGCTGCCCCTAGCACACCAGCATCTCTTCAACCACTATGGACAAATCAGGTGGGCTCGCCAGGCAGTGGAACTTCTTCCGCCCCACCCCTTACTCCTCTCCGTGAGATGATGGAAAACGCACCAGACACCTCGGACGAAGCTTCTTCTATTGCTCCAAGCTATTCCGATGCCTCGGTTTTCCAGTCAGATCTCCCGGCGGGAAGCTATTCGGGACCAGGCAGGAAAGACGCCCACACCCGAAACCGAACGAATGCATCCGATCGATCGGTCGCCAGGTCCTCGCCACCACGCTCCCACCGTGAAGAAGACATGGGCCCCAAGCCAGAGTTCCTCAACAAGTCAGCTCGACAGGGCTCGTCAAGCTCCTCCATCAAGTCTTACAAGGTCCGACCTATTCGCACGTCAGAGGAGAGCACTAGCGCCATTGAGGACAAGGGACAGACTTTCGAGCAACTCATCCGCAGCGAGACGACCCTTCAGTACACCCTGACCCCTTCCAATATGCGCGGTATCGATGTAAGTTAAATCTAGCCTTCCTTAAAAGACACGTGCTAACCTATATAGGACATCCCTGAGAGCCCATTGCTTCCAAGGCAAAGCAGCTTCGGACCACGATCCACGCCACTTGGCTCGCCCATGGTTGCCAGCTTCTTAGGTAGCAATTCTGCAAGCTCGCCTAAAGTCTCAACATTCCTTGGCAATGGTAAAGAGGCCTCTGATATCCCGAAGTCACCTGTGGGCGGTACTCGTTTTGCTCCGAAGCCTGCTGTGAGATCTGCTCCTCCTCCAAAGTCTGGGGCACGTGTCAGGCCAAACGCGCCACAGGCGAGAGATGCCAAGATTACGAGCGAGTCGATCAGCGATTTTGCGGACTTCATTAGATCTACTGGGCCGCCCCAGAGCCGTGATGGCTACGCTGCTCAGCCACCACCGCGTCAAGCTAATATCTCGGCTCATCGAATCAGCGCCGCGTCTGTGCCAATTGTCGTGGCCAAGTCTGTGGCTTCAACCGGAAACCGCAATCGCCTTCAAGCTCGCGATGCCGTGGTCCAAAGTGACAATCTGTCGTCTTCAGAGCTGATTGACTTCATTCGTCAGGGACCACCGAGTGACAAAAGCCATGACAACCCCAGGATCCCTCGCACAGTCGCTCCATTCCGCAGCACTATGGACTCGGACCAAATGTCAACGGCACTCTCTGGCAATCGCCTCTCGACCCTCCCAGAGGGCCGCGACCCCCAGATGAATTTCTCCATGGGCACATCTATGCACACCTCAACCACGGCCAATTCTGGCTCCGCAATGAAGAAGCCCTCCCTGCCACAGGCCCATCTACCTGCATTCGATGAAGAGGACATGATGCCGAAGCGCAAGACTCACCGTGTCAAGGACCCCTATGCTATTGATTACAGCGATGATGAGGATGATGACGACGAGTTCACCCTCCCCAAGGGTCCTCCCAAGCGCGTTGAAGAGTCGCTCATCGACTTTCTGAATAGCGTCCCTCCACCTGACACCTCCACCATGAGCTCCATCTTCGATGAGCCTGCGCCTCCCCCGAAGAAGACAATCATGGCGCGCTTCTCGCGCTCCAACTCCACCGCCTCATCCTCCTCCGCTTCAACTCGCAGCTCAGTGCTCACGCGCAACAACGCCCTCCCGCGCAACTCGTCCCTCCCGCAGCACCCCACCTCCTCCCCCAAGAAACACACCCCCATCACTCCCTCCTACTCGACCACCCCGCCCCGCCCCCGCTCCAACTACGCCGCTCAGGTCACCCAGCAGCGCAAGCCGGGATCGCGTGCCAGCCAGAAGCCATCTCCTCGTGAGGCCACGCACTCTCGCAACACTCCTTCTTCTGACCTCGCGGACTTCCTCATGAACACCCCGCCTCCACCAAGCTCGCAGCCTATTGCGAAGGAGCAGGGCGGATTCTCGCGTATGTTCGGACGCAGGAACAAGGCTATCTAAACAGCCAAGACAGGCATGGGAATACGAGCCGACGCCTTCAAACATCTGCGGTGCTATTGTTCTACTCACTATTCTGATTTTTTGTTTATTACGACGCCTTCACTCACTACGGCGTTTTCTCTCTCATATTTGGGCCGGCGGCACGGGGCGAAAAAAACACAAAATATCCGCTCAGTGTTTTCGAGTCCTGGTCAAAACTGGCTACACTACTACTGCTACTACTATTTTTACTGGACTTTCCTCGTACTCCGTTTTATCGGCGCCTAAACTACTTGCTGCATCCCCCCTGACGACTGGGACGAAACCAAAAAACTGGCTTGGCGTACTGAGAAAAACCTGCAAATCGCAATCGCTATCGTTGTCTTATTTTACTTTTTTTGCTACTACGACTACTACTTCTGCTATCCTGCGTCTGTACTTTGCTAGATACCGGACCCAGCTTGCTTCTGCTGTTATTTGTTTTGCAGCTGGGCCTTACTTGCTTTTTTTGTTCGCGCTGTTTGGATTCGATTGGGGGTGGGTGGCATGGAAGCGTTGGGTTTTTTTACTTTTTGTGTTTTTTGACTTCGGCTTTTGGCTTCGGCTTTTGGCTTTGGCTTTGGGAAAGTAATACGGGGGGTGTACTTTTTGAGAAGATGGGATGGGGGGAGTGTGGAGGCGGATGATGGGGGAAGAGATCATTTGTGAACGATGTTTTGAGTCTTGTTGGTGTGTGGATACGAATGTATATATGAAAATAATGCAGTCAAGAAATGGGGGAGTAGCGAATAGCGACGATTAATTTGACACCACGATTCTTATATCTTGACTCTTTCTGAAATGTGACTTTAATCCGCCGTCTAGTGTCCAGGTAGCTCCTGAAATAACAGCGTTGTAAAACAAGTCCCCTAATAGGTGGTAAAACCCAACCAAAATCCTGTCAGCCGAAACACCCAAACGAACGCTCCTCCCCTGCCCGAAAATTAACCTACAACCCAAGCCCACAAAGTGTCTCAACTCTAAATCACCCCCTTTAGCCTCAACGGCTCGGATGTTCTTCCGTGCGACCCCCCACCCCGCGCCCTTTATCCTAAACCCCGCCAAAGCTTGCATTTATTGATTAACTCGGCCTCGCCGCAGCAACCGCGCGCAATCTGGAACAACACTCTTACAGACGCTCTGCCCTGACGGCGGCGTTGCATTGGGGGTATGCGGCTTACCTACCTCTATTATCCCTCGTTTGTTACCCCGCGTTCTGGGAGGGGCAATCTATCAGTTGCGCGTTGATATATTTGTATATATTGTGCGCGATGCAGTCAGCAATTGAGGTCCCATGATTCTATCAGACGATAATGAATGAGTTTCTTCTCATTCCGATGTCCGACGGAAGAGAAGCGGTTGCGCTCCTCTCCCAATTCCTCGGCCCAGGACAATGAGGTGTATATGTAAGTGAGAATCCGCCATGAATCATGGTAAGCATCAAGACCAATCTTTCCTCCCCTATTCCTTTCCTCTCCACCACAGCCAAAATGCGCTCCCTATCTCTCCTCCCCCTCCTCGCCCTCTCCGCATCAGCACAGCTATGTTCGTCCCCCCTCCTCCCCCCAAACACACCCACCCTAACATCCCTCAGGCGCCGATAACCCCTCCATCTGCCCCGCCTCCACCGTCTGCCAAGACCGCGGCGACGGCTCCCCCTCCTGCGTCGGCGGCTTCTCCGCTCCCTGTGCCGCCGGCAATGGCGGAGCCGCGAACTGGGGTCAATGTAAGATTGCCCTCTCCCCCCCATCAGGGAGTAGTAAGAGACAGTAGACAGTACTGATAACCACAGGCGGCGGACAGGGTTTCGCAGGCCCGACTTGCTGCGCTGGCGCGCCGGACTGGCTTTGTTTCTATGCGAATCAGTTCCATTCGCAGTGTTTGAGGGTTATTTACCCTGCACCTGCTGAGACGACAGCGGCGCCGACGACGATGGCTACTTCAACCACTACAGCAGCACCGGCGACGTCGACGGTGGCGAGGGTGTGTACGGCGCATTGGGGACAGTGTGAGTGAATTTCTCTTTTGTTTGTGGGTTGAGAGTGGATTTAGGGTGTGTGGATGTGGACTGGGACTGATTGTTGGTGATATAGGTGGAGGACAGGGATGGACGGGACCGACGTGTTGTCAGGATGATGAGACCTGGTTTTGTGAGGTTGCTAATAACTGGTTCTCGATGTGTCATCCGAGACCTGTGGTGTCCTCGGTGTAATCGAGCGCGGTGGCTATGCCGTCTGCGTGGAAGGGTTAGAGGGAGTTGTGGGTTGGTGCTCAGGGGGTTGGAGTTGGAGATGTCAGGAGGGGAACAGCTTGGATGAAGTAGTACATATGATAGGGACAAAGTATATATGTTATTGGAAAGTCTTTGCTACTACGAGATATATGATAGTGGCTAGATATATGCCAGTATATGGATACATTCCTTGCAATATAGCCTTTGCGCTCAGCAACCCCCCCATTATCTTCTCATGCCAGTCAGCCATAAGCCAATACCTAGCACATCTCCAAACCACCCTTCATCACATCCTCACCCCCAAAACACATAACCTCCCCACCTCTCCCGCCCATCCCATCAAAAAACTAAACCTCAACCCCGTAATCCACTCTTGCAACTCTCTCACCCCATTTATATCCACCGTATCCCCAACCCCTTTCTTGGAGCTTAGTACCCCCACTGCCCCAGCCTCCCCAAGAAGTTCTTTCCACGCTTTTGGCGTCCATTGTAGCTTCTCTGCTTCGAGTGCGCGGGTCTCGTCGAGCAATGATCCTATTACGGCTGGGTTGATGGATAGGGTTTGGACGGTGCCGCAGGTGAGGCATGGGGTAGTGGGTTCGAGGGAGTATATCGGGATGCCGCAACTATGGCGATAGTTAGTTTACCAATCCACAGAAACGTATGCAACAACAAAGGGACACAGTGAGGAAAGACATAATATGCCTTACCATTCCCCAACCGCCGCCATACCCCTCCACACAACCCTCACAAGATTCACCTGCCCAACCACCAAACTCAACCACATCGTCCACACCCCTTCCTCCTCCCGCACCCTCTCCTCCAACTCAGCAAGAGTATACAAACCTGCCTCCCCAACCGTCTTCTCGAACATTTCCATCACTTTGTCCGGAACCTCCTGCCTCTTGGTACTCACCCTCCTCTCCCTCTCCGCCCACCTCCTCAACCCCTCCACCCCCCCAACCTCCGGCTCCGCATCCACCAAACTCTCTTGTCCAAGTGAAATACATGCCTTCTCTCCCCCTCTCTTCATCGTCGCCCCCGTAATCAACAGCACAGTCCCAACCTTAAACGGCACCGTCGCGTGGTCAAAAAGGGTTAATTTGCACTCCCCCGTCCGATCCGCCAATACCAGTTCCGAGACCACGAAGTCGGTCATCCGCGCTGGGTGTTCAGGGCTGGAAGGGTCCTTCTTCTGGACTTTCCGCGAGGGGTGGATGGCTGTTAAGACGAGGAGGAGGCGCGCGGTGGGGAGCTCGTGGCCGCTGGCGAGGAAGGAGGAGAGGGTCATGAGGTCGGAGGGGGAGGAGAGGGGTGTGCGGTAGAGAGAGGGGGAGAAGGTGGGGGGGTGGAGGATGAGGTGGGCGCCGGAGTCGCGGCCGGAGAAGATGGAGGTTCCGAGGGGGGTAGAGAGGTGGAGGGGAATGGTGGTGGGGGTGGGTGGGGAGAGGGGAGGAGAGGGGGTGAAGAGGAGGGAGGAGGCGCGGACGAGGTGGGGGGTGTAGATTGTGATGAGTTGGGTGAGGTGGAGGGGTGGCGGGAGGGGGGAGAAGTAGAGTTTTACCTATATTATGGTCTGGTTAGCTGGGCTTGTCTCTGTATTCCTTTCGATGGCAATACCACGGGATGAAAAGGAGAGATCGGGAAAGGGGTAGACCAACATAAATCCCACCCGTGCCATCATGCACCACCATGCCCACCCATCCTTTCGCTGCACTCACGCGTTTGCTCTTCCCATATGTTACCCTGAAGTTGGCGATTCGGCCTTGGAAACGGACTGGTCGTGAGCCAGCGGTGAGAGCGACAATAGCGTGTTGTGTGTATGTTCGTGTAGGGGCGAAAGGGGTATAAAGCGGGTCTGTGGATGAGTCGATGGATGGGTCGGTGGGAATGAAACCGTCGCCTGGGTAGGAGGGTGTGGTGTTGTTGGGTGGAGAGATGGGTTTGAAGAAGGAGTGGATGGTGGGTGAGGATGGCATTGTGTGGTCTGTGATAAAAATGCTCCTTTGTTTGTAGGATAGATAGGATATATTTGAGCTTCAGACAAGGTTGAAAACAAGAATAAGAAGAAGAAGATGCAAACGGATGGTAAGAGGATAAAGACGCTTGCTGAGGGAAGACTTGTACGTCTTATGGAATAAGTGAGATACTGGGACAAGTGAGAGAGTGTCTGACAAACGTGAACTGAAACATATAATACCCTAGACCTTATACCATCATTGGTAGAATATAGAACCTAATCTCGTAGTCTAGACGTTTATAGGTGATGATTGAGGAGGAGGAGGAAAGAAGGTGAAGAAGGAGAGAACGGGAAGACGGTAAGACGTCCACATAAGCTGCATCCAACTCCCATCCCCCTCCCATCCCCTCCTCCCCTTCCCCCCCTCCATCCTCAGGCCAACACCCACAACCATTCAACCCAACACAGCCATATAAAGCCCCTTAACTCTTCAAAACCCAAGCGGCACAGTGGCGCAGTGGAAGTACCACTGTCAGGACAATCTGGCCAGGGGTGGATAAATAGGAGGTAAGCGGTTCGATTCCCCGCTATCCAAAAAAAGACAAAACCCAATCCTCGCGTTCCATCAACTCCAACTCCCAATTAAAGTAAAATCAAGTGATTTTCTACATCAGATCTCAGCCCACCACGAGATCTGATGGTCTTTTGCATTTTTGATCTTTAAATCCTCCTTTTGGCGAGCTGGGGGGTGGTAGAGAGAGACGTCTGTTTGCATCAGATTCGCCTAGCCAAGGAGGCGGACGCGTTTGTTTGCTTCCCTTACTTCGTTTGAGAGCCTCATAACAGCAACGAAGATCTTTCTACAGGCATATCTCCCCTATTAGCCTTCTACGATGTTCATGATATGATGGTATACTTTTATATCTTTTCGTCATTGTGGAATACACGTCGAGTAATGCTGAACGGACTCGTGATGGCGAATTAATTCAACCCCTCCACCACACGGACGGGAACAGACTGCCACTCAGCAAACGCAGAACCAGGCATTCTGATGGCAGCAATGATCCGACCTCAATGCTGGGAATGGTCAGTTCGTAGACCAAACCCACCAAGCTTCTACTATTCATGAGCAGCCTTCACTATGAGTATCACCATGATCAGAGAAAGTGAGAAACAAACGCAGTGAGTAGCAACCAGCACCTCGTGCCTCATATCGATTATTGATTATATGTACTTCAGATCCCATCATCCATCCATCCACAAACACATTAACTAATCTCCCCTCGCAATGCCAAACAGCACCGGCCAAAACCCGCGAAACCATCCAACCCACCCGCACAAAACCTGCGAAAACAAAAGTAAGAATCGGGGTATACGCCACACACAACACACAAAACCACAACCCTATCCCCGCTCAAATCATCATCAACCTCGTCGTCCTGCGCTCCATCCTCCCCATCCCTCCACCAACCCCAAGCATGCCTCCAGGGCCACCTCTCCCCCTCCCTCCCCGGCCCCTCGCCCTCATCTGCGCCCTCCTCATCGCATCCCTCTCACAATACACCCTCCCCCCCAGCTCAAAATACCCATCACTAACCGGCCCCCTACAATCACTACAAACCAAACACCCAGGATGAAACTTCCTCCCCCCCATCCCCCCCCCTTTCGCCGTCTCCAAACACGGCCCCTCAATCCCGCCTCCACACCCACCACAACAACTCCCATTCAACCTATGATAATCCCGCGCGCAATACGGCGCATCATCCAGGACATAGAACGACGCCGTCGCAAACGGCGCCCGGCACGTCGTGCACGTAAAACACGCTTTGTGATAGTGCCCCGTCAGCCGCCCATCAGACGACGACAGCGACTTCCCCGTGATCGGCAGCTGGCACGCCTTACACGCCCCCTTCGCCGTTGACGGGCGACGCGCGGGTGGTCCCGTGTGGGGGTTCATGGTGTCGGATGCTGCGGTGGAAGGACGGCGCGCGGGCGAGAAGGAGGGAGAGTGCGGTTGCGAGGGGTGGCGGAGGGAGGGGTTGGGTTGTTCGAGGCGCGGGGCGGATGGGCGGCGGGGGGAGTGGCCTTGTTGCGGGTTGTAGCGGCTGCCACTGCTGCTTTCGCGCGGGAGGCCGGGGGAGCGGAGTCCGGATTGGATTGCTGGGTCTGCGAACTCGGGGGAGAGGAGGGAGGGGTCTAGGTTCCTCCTTCCTCTCGCGTCTTGCACAGCGGGTTGTTGTTGTGGCTGTGGCTGCGGTACTGGCACCTCAGCGATGGCTTGCTCGAGGTCCTGCATTAACCCGTCAAAACCGCCCATAGCGCTCTTCTCCTGCCTTCGTCGCGGCGGTTCGACCGATGACGGTGGGCTGGAGCGCGAGCTCGTCTTGCTGCGTGGGGAGTGGCTCGAGTCGCTGGAGGACTGCGAGACGGAGGGTGTGTGGAAGGGGTTTTGTGCACCGAACTCGGCGTCGAGGTTTATACCCGCTACGCTGCCTTGGCGTGCTAGCGGAGCTCCACGGGGTGGTGGAGGAGGTGTGATGGAGGGCAGGCGCGTGTGCGAGTCGCGCGGGGGGGAGGTGCGGACGAAGGTTGGGCCGTCGAAGGTGGTGGATGCGACGGTGGATGTTGAGGGGTGACGAGGGCGCGCGGACTCGGATGGTCGTCTCGGGAGGCCGACGAAGTTGCTTCCGCCTGGCGTGGCTTTTGGGAAGGTGTTGCTCCTGTTTGTGGGTGTGAGGGGCGGAGGCGCATCGAGTGATGACGATGATGAAGGTGGTGGCCCGAAGCCGCCATAGCCACCGGGGCGCTCGGTTCGGATAGGAATTGGAGGGATTTCGGAGCGCGGGGGTGAGCGCGAGGACATGGAAGACCCCGACGAGGTGCTACGGCCGTGGGCGCGGCCGTCGGTGGATTTCGCCCGCATATGATTCGGCTCTTCGTCTACCGCTTCCTCTGTACCCTCACGCTTGCCTCGACGTCCCTTGATATCAAACGGGCCGGGGGCAATGGTGTTCATCCTCTTCAACACCCCGCCGCCCTGGCCCAACCTCGGGCTCACCGGCGCATATCTCGGGTCCGCTTCAGCGTACTGCTGCGGCCTCGCGAGGTACGGGCTTTTCGGCGGCGGGAAGGGCGGGAACGAGCTATCGGCGTTTGTGGCGAGGAAGTCGGGGGAGGAGCGGTCGTTGATCTGTGTGCGAGCGGCGCCGAGGGCACGTGGGTAGGGCGAGCGTAGACCGTCGCTAGGGGTCATGGGGGAGGCGCTGCGGGACTCGCTGGAGGCTGAGACGGGGGTGAGTTGGTCGGGGCGGGTGAAGGGGCGGTCTGGGGAGGATGGTTAGCTTGTGTGTTTTCTGTGGTTGTGGAGATGGAGACGTACTGGCTGCTCTGGTGTCTACACGCGGCGGTGGTAGACGGGTGGATTTATATGCGCCGCTGTTGTCGGGCGGCGGGAGAGGTTTGCTATCGTATGGGGAGTATGTGGAATAGCCTTTTGAAGAAGGCTCTAGCGGCGGCGTGGCTATGGAGTTGTCAGTTACTGTCCTTCCCCCTTTCTCCGATGTCTTTGTTTCTCTCGCGTCCTGGAGCTTGGTGGTGGAATGGGAAGCTTACGCTCAGCAGGGCCGCAGACATGCTCGCCCATCATGGAGATCTCGATCTCCTGCGCACACATAGAGCACTTTATCGTCGGCAGGAAGCCTGACATCCTGCTGGTGTCCGCCATGGTCCTGCGCTCTCAGGTCTCCTATTCTGGATATTGCAACATGCGGCAGCGCTCCAGGCTAATAGTCCAGATGCGCGGTGTGGGTTGTGAGCGAGCAGATTCGGAGAAGGCTACCTGCGCCTTTTGTTGTTGTTGTCGACTCTGTTGGTTGAGGTCTCCTTGGTAGGTTAGGGAGATACGAAGGAAACCAAGCACGATTATTGAAGCAAGGACGAAGAAATGTCTTGGTTTCCGGCACTTCAAGCAGAGGGTATGTACAGAAAAGTCTTTAACAGCGGCAGTGGAATGCGCGACGGCGAGGTGCAGCTTAAACAATTGTTTGGAAACGTGGAGAGGGAGGTGGGTGTTACAGAGGTGTGTCGGGTGTGCAACAGAAGGACGGTTCGACGGTCGACGGGCCTCTGGCGGTCCATATGCACGGAGGGTCTATGCACGGGAGAGACATATGCAGGTACCAGGTACCACACCACGGTGACACCCACAAGGTGCACGGATCACATGCTCAGTGCAGCGAGTAGGAGTTGAGGATTGGAGGAAGTTGAGGGGAGGGGCGAGAGGGAGAGAGGGGGATTGGCGGTTGATGACAATCTGCGGTGTGTTGCTCTCGATGCTTGTAACTTCACGGGTTGCACTCTGTCGACCTCCTTTTTCGTTGTTCTCATATTAGGGACAGTTAGAAAATCATCAGGAGTAACTCGACGAACACACAACGCCATTCTCATGCACATCATCAATATCACATCCCCATCTCCCACGCTCTAGAACTCTAGAACTCTAGAACTCATCTCATCACACCAGCCCGCCGCCGTGCCAACGGTGGATGGTCGATGGTCCCATCTGCACGACATGGCATCCCCCATACAAAGGAGTCCATGGTGTAGTAATGACGCTCCCCTCCAGCCGTGATCACTTCCCCTTTCAGCCGCCCCAGGACCAGCCGGGTTAGCAGTGGGTCAGGATGGTGCGCATCACCCGCCACCTCCGTCGCATCCAGACTGGTCCCCCGATGGGTCGCTATGGGGATTACAGTTGAGGGTTTACGAGATTAGGCCAGGATCCAATCCAGCTGGGGTGCTGACTGTAGATGGTGGTGGTGCGGCGAGGGCGATGGGGGTTGGGTGGGACGGTCCAGGGTAAGCGCTGTCATCTCCAGGGCTGGCTGTTCCTGGCCACACGCTGTATGTTTCAGAGCGCCACAAGGGCAGGCAGGGTCCTGATTTGGACGGTGGTGAAGGCTGATGTTGAATGAGGAAATTGCTATGGTGGTGTGCAGTAAGTAAGCAGGTTATCGTGTTGTACCCGACTTCACGCACGACAGAAATATCCCTCTCTGTACCGGATTGACCGGACGGATGAGATACTCAAAAGAACTCGAGTCCCTCTCGTTCATTAGCCGTCGTCTTTTTCGGAGATTTGATCTGTGCATCCCTTCCGCATTGGGACGACGCCACGATGGGTGGGATCGAGAAGGGGGGTGTGCTTCGGCTAGGACCGGGGGGGTCTTGTAACAACCCCCTATTGTTTGTTGGTCAGGGCGGCTATTTGGGATATTATGGGATGAAAGAGTAGAGTTATATATAATTGTGGGATTCCTGCATTATGGGTGCTATGGTTAAAATGTCACACGTGTGTTGGCAGGAATGAGAGAGCGGTGGATGAAGAAAAAATAAGTATGTAAGGGCAGGAAAAGAAGAGGTGTGAAGAATTTGGCTTCGGTTAGGTGCAGCACGGTCGCAGTGCAGGTACTGTGCAGCACCACTGCGAACCCCTTTTTTCACGTGTTTGCTCCATTCAGGGTCCTTGCTCGCGTGTGTAAACGGGGTACGGCATACATCGTACTTGCGTAATCCAGAAAGATAGAGATAAGAAGGAACGAACCAAGGAACGCCCGGATGCCGGAAGAGAAGAGAGGGCTTTCATAAACAGATGCCGCCATTAATCCCCTAGATCCAGTTTGCTGCACCAGACAACACAGCACAACACCGCACACGATATCAACACCGCACGCACACTGGATAAGGAATTATGGAGCCCCGGCGATCAACATATGCCGGTGTTTCTTGGAACCGCAACGTTGCGCCCTCACCGCTCCTTCAACGCTGTTATTCCTCCGCTCTGGCCTCCTGCGGTTTCGCTGTAGCCTTGCTGGTGGTGCAGAATCTAACCCCTCGAACTTGCGGAATCTGGTACAAGATCTCTTCATGACAGCAGGCACTATTCCCGCTCAAGTAATCCGTGCACAACTGATCGGCTTTCCCCTCAATCCTCTCAATAGGTGGGGGGGTGTTGTTGTCTGGCGATCAGTGCTCCGTTGTTGCTCCGTTTGCTCCTGATTGCTGCTGATTGTTGTGCTGGTCGTGTGTGTGATTTGGTGTGGTTTGGTGGTATTTTGGCGGTGTTTTTGTTGCTCTGAGCTGAGACAATTATCCGTCCCCCGCTGTTGTAATCATGATCACGTGACCACCACACATGAAATTTTTGACAAGTTGGCGGAGGTGGGGGTGACCGCGGGGCTTTCCCCTCCTCAACCACCGGAACACCTGGAGATACTTTCAACAAACTCCACCATAGCCATTCTGCCTCCTAATGGACCAAATTAATATGAGAAAATTGTATAAAATCGTATAAAAAATAACAAAAAATACCATCACAACCGGAAAATGTTTAATAAAATGTCTTGGACGTACGCCAATTCACCCTTTCCGCGCGTCTTCTATACGTACACCTCTTTTGCTGCGTTACGTACTCTTCCATTTCCCTACTTTCCTGCCCCGCCAAATATGCACCACCACTTAGAGCCCAGCATGCTCCAATGACGCCTGCACTTTCCCGCCGATAGTGGAACAAAACCCACCATCCCACCTCACCAAACCACCTGCTAGCTCCTCCGAACTTTCCCTGGGCTCCCGTACAACCGCACATTCCCAAAAACACACATAAACACCCCTCCTTCCCCTCTTCCGCTCTTCTTTCTCCTGTCTTCACCCACAAACACTTCTTCGATATAACCCAAAGCTTCAAAACTTCCAAACATTCTGATACACTTCAACCCTTACCTCAAAAACACCCAATACCCGTCTTAAACCTGTTCTAGATCGTCGCTCCTGAGTGTCGATCTTCCTCAAGTCTTCAAGACGTTTTCTAATCTCCTTAACTCGTACGTTCCCTTTCCTCTCGGAAGAATATGAAGAAGATGAAGAAGATGGAAGAAGAAGAAGAGCTCCAAACTGACTCCCTCACAGTATCCACCACCCGTTTGCTGGAGGCCGCAAGAGTGCTCCTGGTAGTTCATCGGATTTACCACACGTCAAATAATTAATCCAATACAACCAAGAACAACCAAACTCAAACCTCCACATATTTTAGTAGCTTACTACTTTTAACATACTAAAATATGGCACCACACGCTGACAATGGCACTGGTGTTGCAAACGGGAACGGTGCTTCCCCCGTCAAGGACCTTTTCACGGTCAACAGCCCAAACGTCGTGTACACCGACGAGACTATCAAGTCTAAGTACACGTACTGCACCACCTCTGTCTCTAAGGATGAGGCTGGCAAGTACGTTGCTACCCCCAAGGAGACCGTCTACGACTTCAAGGTCGAGCGTGCCATCCCCAAGACCGGTATGATGCTGGTCGGTCTCGGTGGTAACAACGGTTCCACCGTCACCGCTGGTATCATTGCCAACCGCCGCAACCTCACCTGGCCCACACGTGAGGGAAACCGTACTGCCAACTACTACGGTTCCGTCACCATGGCCTCCACCATGAAGCTCGGTACGGATGCAAAGACCGCCAAGGATGTCAACATCCCCTTCCATGACGTTCTCCCCATGGTCCACCCCAACGACCTTGTCGTCGGCGGATGGGATATCAGCTCCATGAACCTGGCTGATGCCATGGACCGTGCTGCTGTCCTTGAGCCCACCCTCAAGGCCATGGTCAGCAAGGAGATGGCTGCCATGACCCCGCTCCCATCCATCTACTACCCGGATTTCATTGCCGCCAACCAGGAGGACCGTGCCGATAACCTCATTGCCGGCTCCAAGGCCTGCAACGAGCACGTCGAGAAGATCCGCAAGGACATTGCCGACTTCAAGGCCGCCAACAACCTTGACAAGGTCATTGTCATGTGGACTGCCAACACTGAGCGCTTTGCTGAGCTCATTCCTGGCATCAACGACACTGCCGACAACCTGTTGAAGGCCATCGCTGACGGACACGAGGAGGTTGCTCCTTCCACCGTCTTCGCTGTTGCCTGTATCCTCGACAACGTGCCATTCATCAACGGCTCCCCCCAGAACACCTTCGTTCCGGGTGCCATTGACCTTGCCGAGAGACACGGTGCGTTCATCGGCGGTGACGACTTCAAGTCCGGGCAGACCAAGATGAAGTCCGCCCTCGTCGATTTCCTGATCAGCGCCGGTATCAAGCTCACCTCCATCGCCTCGTACAACCATCTTGGTAACAACGACGGCAAGAACCTGAGCTCCCAGCGCCAGTTCCGCTCCAAGGAGATCTCCAAGTCCAACGTCGTCGACGACATGGTCGAGGCCAACCACATCCTGTACAAGGAGGGTGAGCACCCCGACCACACCGTCGTGATCAAGTACATGCCCGCTGTTGGTGACAACAAGCGTGCCCTCGACGAGTACTACGCCGAGATCTTCATGGGCGGCCACCAGACCATCTCCCTCTTCAACGTGTGCGAGGACTCCCTCCTCGCCTCCCCGCTCATCATCGATCTCGTACTCATCGCCGAGCTCATGACCCGTGTCTCCTGGAAGGCTGAGGGTGGCGAGTACAAGGGTTTCCACTCTGTTCTCAGCATCCTGTCCTACATGCTCAAGGCCCCGCTTGTGCCCAACGGAACCCCAGTTGTCAACGCCCTCGCTAAGCAGCGTGGTGCCTTGACCAACATCTTCCGTGCCTGCGTCGGTCTCCAGCCCGAGTCTGACATGACTCTTGAGCACAAGCTTTTCTAAGCTTGTTGTCCTGTCTTGACAATACGAGGTTGATATGCACAGCACCTGAGAAGGGATTTTTAATTCTGGGACCCCCTCTTTCTCCGCTTTTTGATGGACTGGATGGGTAGGCTTGAAAGGGCTTGCTTGTCCTTTTTGTCATGGGTGGTGATAGGGGAGTCGGTATGGAGATATGTTATAGCGATGCCATGAGCCTGCTGTTCAGCAACGGTGTCTGGTGGTAGTTGCAGCCGCTCGTTTGTAGGTCCCTTTAGTAGGGGCTGAAAATTGAAGGTTGTGCGTTTGCAAAACATTTTGGTTTTTGATGATTGTGATATGATGTGATGTGATGTGAAGTCTTTTGTATGTGCTGTTGTAGTATTGTAAACCTGATCTGTTGTCTCATGCTGGCTAAAATTGTAGGAGATTCTAAGAGGGACTGTCCGTAATATCAGTGCGTACAGCAACTGTAGTTTTGGTAAAGGTGTTCGGTCACTCAGGGTTACAGTCAATAAGCCAGTTGCTCAAGACATGTTAAGTTAAGAGAGAAGTTAGATCCTATTAGCGCAAATTGCTGGTATGATACCTCATCCTTACGATCCGCTAGAGCATAGATATACGGTACGTATTTGCTTTGCTGTATGCCTCTTCCCTATGTACATTGTAGTAGATTTGTGGGAATGAGTTGAGACGGTTGGTAGGGTGTTGTATAATTCTTGTTTTATCATATTTGCATTTTAGGAATTTATATATATATACATGCAATTTAATTAAACCATATGTCCCCGCCACAAACCACACACTATTTATCCTTTCATTATCTACTACCTTTCTTAGACCCTGTTTCATATTTGATTTACATCCTCTACTCACTAGGCCGAGGGGCAGTGGTTTCGCATCACGCCACTCTAAGACCACAGCGTCCCTGTTCCTGACATGGCGCGACGAAAACCAAAATAGCCTCATCTGAAAGAGTGACTCTTAAACTAACTAAACAAACCACCCATTAGCTCCCACATCGGGTAACTGACTAGTAGTGTAGTCTAAATTCTCATTCTGTCTATTCCAAAATGCCTTTATATAAACATCCCCATCCATCCAAGCATCCTATTCTCCATCATCAAAGTCTCATCCGTCCTTGCTTGCCGCAACTTCTTTATTTATTTATTTTCCCTCGACCTGTTCGGAGCTGGTTTTACTCGACTCGACTAGATCAGGGATTATTATTATCAAAATACATCGCCTTGATCGGCCTGTAAGGTGAGATTGTGAGGCTTTGCAAGAGCCGCGAGCGACGCTTTTTCATGATGCCCGCCTGGAGCTGTCACATGGGGGAGTCGTCCATAGAATCGCACCTCGCAGAATTGCAAATAGCAGAACTGCCCTCTGTAGAACTACTGTCCGCAGAGTCGCTTTTCGAAGAACCACCCTCCGAAGAATTGTCCTCTGAAGAATCGTCCTTTGTCGTCCACACTACGTCCTCGTTGCTGAATCCGGCTCTATCCTCGTCACCAAATCGCACTACAAGCCCCTATTTAGATAGAGCTGAACCGCAGCCACAGCTCAGTAGCCCTTGCTATTCGCCATTCGACCATCTACCTATGGAACTATTCCAACTCATAATCTCATTTCTCCCTCCTCTAGCCGCCGCTTCACTTAGCCTGACATGCCGGTCAGCCCAGTCTATCATCCGAACCAAATACTTCGATCAGCTCCAAGGAAAAGATTGGCGTAAGAGAAGACTTGAGTTCTTACATCTCCTAGCGAGAGGTCTGCCTGCCCACATCGTGTGCATTGCATGCGAAACCCTCCACAGCCGTACACAGAAGCAACTCCACAAAGCGACGCCCTGCAAGAAAGAAGAGCGGACGGGGTGCCCAATTCTCTTCAGTCTATGGTCGTATGTGAAAGATACACGTGTAGTCTAATTTAAGTAGGTTGATGTGACATGAAACCACTAAGCACTCTTCTCCGCTGTTCGCGTCCCTGTAACTCGGATCATGCCTAGGATCTTGTGCTAGTGTTACTGGTTCCTGCTTCGGGGTGGCGAGAAGTGGTGGTTGCTTGGATGACCCACCCCCCTCCTTTGACCTCACTCCTTACGAGGTAGACAAATTTTAGGAAATTTTAATCGATGTTTAAGGAATTTTAATTGATTAAGGAAAGTCCGGCAATTTTTGGGCTATACACACGCGTTTGAGACATGGTAGAAAAACATTAGTTTTTTGCGCTCCTACTAGCTGTCTATTCGACGGTTCATGGGATAGACAACTGCTCTCTACCTACGAGCCCCTGATAGCTATGTAGACTTGAAGAAATTTCTCATGTCAACATTCTTGTCAAAAACTCCCACCGCTGCAGCAGATCGACTCTTTGTGGCTACGTCTTTGATCCGTTGGTTGACTTCTCCAACAACACTCTCCGGCATTCCTACCAAAACCTTTGAATCATCGGAAGTTATGACGTTACTGATATCCTGACGGGTCCGTTTAGGCTGCACTTGTGAGAAGATGACTACAGAGGAAACTTCGTCAGCCTCCAATAGGCCTTTCTGCTTCTCGACCTCTTGTGTGGCTAGGGCTCGCTGAGCACCGCCATCTTCTTCGTCCTCTAGCTCCTCCTGCAGATCTTGCATACGTCTTTGTGCTTCATCCTGCTGCTTCTTAGCGAGATCTATATGTTCTTGGATCTGTGTCTCGAGAGCCTGCAATTGGGTCTTTAGTTTCTTGCGATCAGTCCCTGACGTTCGTTCAGAGCGGAGTTGAACGATTCTTTCCAGGGCGTCAGCATGCATTCGTGATCATGATGTCAAGGGCTCACCTACAACTGGGTACTTGTAATTGCAAACTGAACTGTGTCCTGGCAAGACTGAACCTGCATTCTAAAAGTCCGGATTTTCTCCTTGTTCCAAACGCCGACTGAAAATCGGTCTCTAAGTGAGATTTTTGTACTGGTAGAATGTTTCGTCCACCGCTTTAGATTGTCTGCAAAGTCGGCACATGCCTGCCCACAGTTGTTAACAGCTTCGACGATACCGGTTTTCTCCAGATCCACTTTCGCTGCGACATAAATCGTGGGGTCTGAAATGGTGAGTTTTTCCAGAGCTGCCAACGGGCGCTGTACGCCTTCTAAGGTCAAGGCAATATCTCGTGCGACTTCTTCAGCCTCGGCAAGATCGTTAATATTATCATAGAGTTGGGCAATGCTGGACATAGCAAACTGTGTGATGCCTATGGCGCCTGCGGTGATGCTGAGGGGATCCATAAGCTCTGCACTTCGGATTTATTCTAAGATTTGGTAAATGACTGCCATATAGAACCAGAGGAACGGCTACAGAGGAGGCAGGATATTCGTTTGATAGATGACTATTTACGAATGAATTCTGAGGAAACAAGAAAAAGATGACCGTTGGGGGACAGCAATGAACTTTATTTGGCCTCCCCCCAGCTAAAGGCAACACTGCGGGGTTGTAGCGAATCATCGTGTCTAACTTACTGTAGCTGGAAAATGAGCCTAACGAGGCATTTTCTTTCAACTGAGACCCAGCTTGAATTGATAATGATACAGTCTTTGCCAAACATTCCTGGAGATCTTGATACACTATTAGCGTGACGGCACTACAAGGACTGACTCTCGCACGACTAGCAAAGGCGGGGCTGTTATCGTCGCGCCAAAGCCGATGGCAGGCATCACTCAAGACATTAGCAGCGTATTCATCGACCACCATTCACGGGGCGCTGTGGGTACCTTTCACGCACCAGTGTATTTTGGGAACAAAGAAAGTGAGTAAATGTAGTTTTACGCAAATGACAAGGCTAACCAGTAGTTTAGACTTTTATGATGTGCTCAACACCCTTCCTAATGCCGTGAACGCGCGATTCAACGCATATCAGCGACAACATGACCCGACCTGTCTCCCCAATACCCGCGTCGACCTTCTTCAAGATATATACAGCTGGGCTGACGGCCAAGATGAGCGATATATCTTCTGGCTAAACGGTCTGGCCGGCACGGGGAAGTCGACAATTGCGCGTACCGTGGCCCGTAGATACCACGAGCAGAAGCGCCTCGGAGCCAGCTTCTTCTTCTCGCGAGGCGGTGGAGATGTGGGCCACGCAGGCATCTTCGTCACAAGCATTGCGTTGCAGCTGGCGAGCAGCGTGCCCTCTCTCGACCAGTACATTTGCGATGCAATCAAAGAGCGGCGCGACATCGCGAGCCAGTCTCTCCGCGATCAGTGGCAGCAACTCGTCGTACGTCCCCTGTCGAAGCTTAGCGGAAGTGGAAGTGGTGGCCCGTTCCCATACATTCTCGTGGTTGATGCGCTCGATGAGTGCGACAATGACAAGGACATTCGCACCATCGTTAACCTCTTGACTGAAGCTCGATCGCTCAACGCCGCGTGTTTGCGGGTCTGTCTAACGAGCCGATCTGAGGTTCCAATTCGAAACGGATTTGGTGAAGTGCCAGACGTTGAGCACCGGGACTTTGTACTTCACACCATATCGCCACAGATCGTAGACCGCGATATCTCTCTTTTCCTACAGCACAACCTCAAGCTCATCGGAAAGGAACAATCTCTAGGCATCGACTGGCCCGGCGCAAAAGTTATCGAACAATTTGTTCAGATCGCCGGAAGTTTGTTCATTTGGGCAGCAACAGCATGTCGATACATTCAAGATGGCCTATGCGCAGGCGAGAATCTGCAAATTTTGCTAGGAGGCAGCACATGTACCACTGCACCAGAAGAGCACCTGAATGAGCTCTATACTACTGTACTCAGAAGGTCTGTTCATCAGCATTACTCAGTAATAGAGAAGAAAGCACTATACAGCATGCTACAGCGCATTCTTGGGAGCATTGTTGTTCTCTTCTCCCCGCTCACTGCCAGTTCGCTTCGCAGGCTACTTGATATCGATAAAGACAAGATTAACCAGGCGTTAAAGGATCTTCATGCAATTCTGGATATCCCTAGGGACGATGCTCACCCACTTTGCCTGCATCATCCTTCATTTCGCGACTTCCTGCTCGACCCTAAAAGATGCGCAGATAAAGATTTCTGGGTGGACGAGGAGCAAGCGCATCAAATCTTAGCCGACAGATGTATACAGCTCATGTCGATATCGCTCAAGCAAGACATCTGTGGTGTAGGTGATCCCGGCATACTTGTAGCCGATGTCGAGAGAAGTTTCATTAAGCAAGGTGTTTCTCCCGAAGTTCAGTACGCCTGTTGCTACTGGATGGATCATGTTCAGAAGAGCGGCACTCAACTCCGCGACAACGATCAAGTACATGTTTTCTTGCAAGAGCATCTTCTTCACTGGCTGGAGGCTCTTGGATGGATAGGAAAAATCTCAGATGGTGTTCATGCCATGGCATCTTTAGAGTCATTTGTTTCAGTCAGTAATATATGCTACAACTTAGGGAAAGGTCTCGCTAACAGTGTAGATAGACTAGTGAATGCCCAGGACTCTGGAGCTTCGTTCACGATGCGAAGCGGTTCGTGCTGTATAATCGAGTAGGGATCGAGCAGTCTCCGCTCCAGACGTACGGTAGTGCACTTGTATTCGCACCAGCATCGAGCATAGTAAGAAAGAATTTCGAGTATTGCATACCTAAATGGATACAAAAGCTTCCAAGAGTAGAGAATGAATGGAATACCTTGCTGCAGGTGCTTGAAGGCCACATGCAGTCCGTCAACGCCGTGACTTTCTCGCCGGACGGCAAGATGATCGCGTCGGCATCGGACGACAAGACCGTCAAGTTGTGGGACCCTGCTTCGGGCGCGCTGCTGCAGACGCTCGTGGGCCATTCGGCCTCAGTCCACGAATGTACGTTCTTACCCAACTCCAAGAGCCTGATATCGATATCGCTAGATGGGGAGGTCAACGTCTGGAATAGTGGCACAGGAGATTTGCTCCTTAAGCTTAGTGATTCGACAGCAGTCAACTCCGCCGTTTCTCATAACAAGGAAGTGGTACCGCTGTCTGGTACCTTGCAAAAACCAGCAATTGTACAGCACGTGAGCTTTTCTAGCACAGTTTATGCCAACTTAATATCACCTAACGGCAAGCTGCGTGCGTCATGGTCAAACAGAAACGTCACGCTACGGGATACCAACTCGGGAGCAGAAATTTGCACGCTTAATCAGAGCCCCTTTTTTCCAGTTAAGGCTATAGGCTTCTCGCAGGACAACAAGATGCTAGCGCTAGTGTCTAGCAACGAAGTCACGCTATGGGATACTAAATTGGGAGCAGAAATTTGCACGCTTAATCCGACCCTTTGGGACCCAGTTAAGACTATAAGCTTCTTGTGGGACAACAAGATGCTAGTGTTATTGTCAAACAGAGAAGTTACACTATGGGATACTGAATCAGGAACACAGCGTTGTATGCTTAAGGACCTTTGCTGCGAACTAGTTGAGGCTATAGGCTTCTCGCAGGACAGCAAGATGCTAGTGTTAGTGTCAAGTAGAGAAGTTACGCTATGGGATACGGAATCAGGAGCGCGACTTTGCAGGCTTAGGGACCTTTTCAACCTAGTTGAGGCTATAGGCTTCTTGCAGGACAGCAAAATGCTAGTGTTAGTGTTAAACAGAGAAGTTATGCTATGGGATATCAAATTAGGAGCAGAACTCTGCAGGCTTAAGGACCTTCAGTACCTAGTCGAGGCTATGGTCTTGTCACAGGACAGTAAAATGGTAGCGTTGGTGTCAAACAGAGAAGTTACTCTATGGGATACCAACTTAGGAGCAGAACTTTGCAGGCTTAAGGGCGTTCAGGGCCTAGTTAAGGCTATAGCATTCTCACAGGACAACAAAATAGTAGCATTAGTGTTTGACAGAGAAGTCACGCTACAGTATACCAACTCAGGAGCAGAAGTTCGCAGGCTCAGGGGCGTTCAGGGCCCAGTCAAGGCTATGGGCTTCTCGCACGACAGAAAAATGCTAGCGTTGGCTTCTAGTACGACGGTTATACTGTGGGAGATTAGCACAGGAAAGGTAATTCAGACATTTGAACGCTATGCAGGGGTAAAGTTTGCCAAAGCTACTTCTTTAGACGGCAAGCTACGAGCAGAGGTATCGGGCTCTAGGGTAGTCAGGCTCCGGAATGATGTTTCGGGAGAGGGATTTCGATCGCTTGAAGGCCATTCTAATCAGATTATAGCCCTTGACTTCTCTCCAGATACCAAGTTGCTGGCATCGGCATCGAGGGACAGAACGGTCAGGCTATGGGACACCGGCATAAAGCCAGCTCTCCCTTCACTTGATGCACACTGGGATTACGTCACTGCGTTGACTTTCTCGCCAGATGGCAAGTTTTTGGCGTCCGCAGCGAATGACTGCAGAGCGAAGGTGTGGGACACTGACAAAATAGCACTACTCAGAAATTTTACCGTTCATTTGGGTCACGTTAATAACATGATCTTCTCGCCAGATAGTAAGCTGCTGGCGTTAGCATCGACTGACGGTACAATCTCTCTACGAAAGGCCGCTGAGGGAACAGTTGTTGAGACTCTAAAAGGCCATTCAACATGCATCATTGCAATGGCTTTCTCACCAGATGGTAAGAGACTGGCGTCGGCATCAGGCGATAAAGCAGTTAAGCTGTGGGATGCAGCAATGGGAAAGGAGCTTAAGACGCTCCAGGATCCTTCGGACCGGGTCAACGCCGTTGGCACCGTTGGCTTCTCACCGGACGGCAAGACGGTCGCGTTGGCATCGAGCAACAAGACCGTCAAGCTGTGGGACACCGCCTCGGGCGTCCTGCTACAGACGCTCAAGGGCTATTCTGGCCCCATCAATGCTGTGGCCTTTTTGCCAGACGACAAGATACTCCACACGAACAGAGAAACCCTACTTATTTCCTTATCTTCTTCTGGCACGTCTGAAGCCCAAACACTGCCTCCGCCTTCCATTTCCATCGAAGGACATTGGGTGCTTCGCCGTACCAAACGGATCCTTTGGCTTCCTCCCGACCATCGACCAAGGGTCACCACTATTCATGGAAGCACCATTGGTTTTGGGTACACATCTGGGAGAGTTGCAATAATTAAGTTGGCTCCATGAAACTATTTCGTTAGCCTCCTACTACAACGACATTTCGCTGATTTTACTCAAGATCTCGACCGCGATGTCGATCTTTCCTCTGGTGTTGACTCTACTATCCCTATTATAGCCTTCTGCGAATGTCAAATTGACATGTCTATGAGAAGTCCGAATGTTGTTAGTTTTATAGATATAGTTCCTTCTTCAAGTCTCTAAATCACGTGAACTTCACTACAGTTACCCGCTTTAGCTTTTTGTGGTTCCAATGTAGTACCTCTACACCATTAGGGCTCAGATTGAGTGGCTCACATATGGCGGACCATGAAATAATAGAGCAGAGTACCTAAAAGAGGCACGCAAGCTCAGACGGCTAAGCTAAGACGGCCAAAGTTCGGTGTTGATACGAAATTGACCTGAAATTGACGGCAAACCTACACCAAAATGTTGCTTCGCCTCACTCACCCTGCTTACCCTGCTCACCCCTGGCCTCACCCTTTAGGTGGCAAGGGGCAGCGATTCTACGCTATGCCTATTGGCACGATTGAGACTATTAGCCAGAGGATACGCAAGCTTGTGTATGGCAGAGCGGACGGGATGCCCAATTCTCTTGAGTCTATGGTCGTATGTGATTGTTATGCGTGTGTCGGGGACTAAATACTGATGTTCTGTGTGTGGAGGTAGGGCCGCACAGATTCTAGACCGATCGGATCGGTTATCAGAACCCGATCTCTGCATCGGATCTGCATGCATATCGGATCACAAACCTATTTTCGTAAGGCAGGTTGTCACTTGGCTCTCATGTAACATGGTTAGCCAAATAATGTTGAGATCAGATGCAAGCCACGTCAGCACTACATAGCGATAATTTGCTCAGATTAATTAATATGTTACCTTGGGAGGAAATAACCTGGCAAGCGTCCTGAAATTCTCCGTCTTCTTGTTTCACGGTTCGGAGATTTTACAATGCCCCCTATAGGTAGTCTCAGACTAAATGCCTATCATGCATAGGTGAGTTCTTGGCTCTCAACTCGGCTGGACGACCCATGTGATACTGATTCCGCCATAACCATCAACGAGATGGCCAGCTTTTTCCAAGACAAAAACCTTCACTATCTCCTCAACAGCGACAAATTAAAGCAGATCATCACCACCTTTCGCCACAGAGTCGACGCCAAAGAAATCCTCCTTGGCGGAAGCATCCCCCCGTCATGCAAAGAGACGAACGTTCTCACACAGCGATATGATCCCCTTAGCAAGCAAGAGGAAGGGGACGGGGTTGAGTGCGATTACAGGCTTGAAGGAGGGGAGTAGGGTGCTGGTTGGAGAGCCGCAGGGAGCGGTAGAGGAACAGTAAGTCAAGCAAGCAATACCAATTTGAGTAATTTCGGATAAAACGATGAATTGAAATCTGTTCCAATTCACAAAAAATAAGACAGCCATGATGATGCTACAGCTAATAAGCTAGTTACTCAGCTAATACCCACCCTTCATGGTCTCCAACGCGGCCTGGAGTCGTCATGGGCCCTAGTCTGGGCCGCAGCCGCCGCCCTTCTCCCACTCGCGCTGACGACCCTGCTAAATGCAAAATGAATACTGTTTTTATAGTCATTGCAGTTTAAGCCTAAACATGTCTGCTTTATATTTAGGGGTTAACAAGCTAGCTATATCAGCATCTGCTCCTTCATGCCCAGCTTTAATAAACCCTGCCTTAAATGGCAGCATCACGTCGTTTTCATTGTGACGAAGATGGCTTCTATATTTGCTGTCTAGTAGATTCCAGCCTTCACCCAAGTCTAACCAACGCGTCAGTATTAACGCTACACCATGTTCAAAAGTTCATGGCGTCAATCTGGAACTCCGTAGGGCAGTCCATGCATTGGAAAAGGCCTGAGCAATTTAGGCATCCGGAATTGAGCTGTGCATTATCCCAGTGGCTTGCACGACAGGACATTTTTGTTCTAAGCTCCATCGAATGTGGCGTTATGAAATACCAATGAGAACAAACACATGCGTATGTCCTATCAGGGACCTCTATCTTCCTCCCAACTGGGAAGAGAAGCCAGGTTTGGTGCCGTAGCAAGAAATGACCATTTGCAATCCGCGGGGCGAACTTTTTGTGAAATATATGCTGAACGTCGGAAGCTCTGCGAAAGGGAATCGAGCGGAATCCGGATAGTGAAGAGAGCTGGTCGTCGCAATTAAGGCCGCTATGGTGAAGCTTCATAGCTAAGAGAAATGCAACAGAGTTGAATTTTTCGTGGATATACCAAGTAACAGATGACGCACGATCTGCTAACGTACACCGCATCGGCTTGCTCTGTAATCTCAAGTATTCTAGCTGGGGCCGACTATGGAGTACCTCGCACTCGAGGCATAATATGTGCCTTGGCAGATCTCTCTGCAGGAGATCTAAGAAAACAGCTCTGTCAACCCCATCAGCCACCCGAAGCTGATCGAGGTATTGGCTCCCTAGGATAAACCAGATTGGCCGGCAGGTGAGAGTAAATGAAGCGGCGGCTGAGAGGGGAAGAAATTCGGCTATAGACCCAATGAGCTCTGCTGGTAGTCGATTGAAAGGTGAGTTCTCAAGACTGCTTGGCTGAGATTGCGATTCAACAGTATCTGGTGATGGGGATATTGTGTGGGCGTGCGAGGAGGATCTTCTCCGAATGAACGAGAGGTATTTCAATAGCCCTATCGGATGCTTGAAGAGCTCCATTTTGATAACACTTGATTTAGTCGAGTGCAGAATATGTGGCCGTGAGAAAGGATGGGCGAGGGTTAAGATTTCATGGGACAACGATCCTTGAACCATGTAGATATTTATATATTTGCGATTTGAGAATGGGGGGGATAAGTAATAGTTGCAGTAATTAGTTTAACTAGATTTTTAAGAGTCATCTTTCGATGAGGCTATTTTGGTTTTATCACACCACTCTAGAAACATAGCGTCCCTAGCTTGCAGTATACACCCTTCTCTGGTGGCCCAACCTTTTGGCTCTTAAATATAGTAAGTAAATTATATAGACGAAGATAAAATAAATTGCAAGGCATGACATAAGGAAGGATTGGCGGTGGGAGAGAGTAGTGTAATTAAAAAAAACTTGTATAAATGAGAAAACCATAACAAATTACGTACCTCTGCACCTACCAACCCAACCCATCTCTATAAACACTAAACACCCCTCAACAGGACATAAAATGTAGTATACGCATATAGCATGGTAAATATGTGCGTACTTCCCATGCTCGTGCTCTAAAGGGGGTTCGTACGAATGAGGTATCATACTGTAGTAGTCCTAAACTACACAACGCCAACACCAGGATATACCGCCATTTCTCGCCAGTACATCCACAGTTAGCGACATATACATCAATACACACATCATAGTACTCATATATCTCAGGCAGAATCCACAGTTCATTCCATCCTGTCAAATTTACACTACCCTCCCCTCCCACCATCATCATGCCCTCCCTCAATAGTCCAGCCATATCAGAGTCCAGTCCCCTTTCCCTCATGCAACCCCAAACCCAAAGCCAAGCCCAACAGCCAGCTTCACCACCGGCCCTCAGCCAAATATGTATGCAGCCTATCCATGCAAAAGTAATCCATCCCGGCTGCCTTTCTAACAGCCCCCCCCAAATCCCAAACCCAATCCCGATCCCAATTCCCAAATTCCCATAATCCCGGTATTTCCCAGTATTCCCAAATTCCCCATGGTGGGAGGAGCAAATCCCTGTCTCCATCCCCCAAATATCCGTTTGTAATTCGCCAGATAAACATCAAAAACAGAAGCAGAAGACAAAAGAAAAAAACAGAACAAACGATTTCGATCAGATGCCAGATCATGGACAAGACAAAAAAGGAAATTGGTATGTCGTTAAGAGGTGCGGTCGTTGGGGACACACAATGCAGACCTGCTGCGAAAGCGCCAGGGAGTGTATATATGTGGGGGGTTTCCTGCCCCCCAGTTCTCCTCCCGTTTGAAACCGGTAAAAAATGGGTAAATAAAAACTCATAGCTATAGGGGTATGTCTCGGTGTGCTCAAAAACAAAAAGGACGAAATATGTGCAAGGTTTTGCCCAGATGGGCGGTGTGTGTGGTTTGTGGTATCGTATCATCGAGATAGTATAGTGGTATAGTGTAGTTTGTGAGTGTGGTTGATCTCGTTGTTGCTTTGAGAGAGTAGTAGTTGATGTGTAATTTGAGGTTGAGCGGGTATTATGATGATCAGATAAGTGATGTGTTGTCGAAACAAGCCCCGAAAGGGGTGGTATAATACAAGTAAACAAGACGTCCTCCACGGCGTGCGCGTCTACGCACTATCCAGCGTCTTCGGCGTCACCGGCGTGCTCTGCGCACGCCCAATGATAGAGCGACCAAGACTCTTCAGCTTCCCGACTGCCTCAGGCGGGCCATCGACATAAATGCTCGTGGCCTCCTTAACCTTGACCTTACAGCACAAAGTCGAGAAGAGAAACTGGTCACCATTCGCGTCCATCAGCGGCAACGTGCGGTATCCCTGCTTCAAGCTCCCCAACTTCGCCGTATACGTCGCCAGCGGCGTGCCGCGGTCGTCGTAGCTATGTCCATCGCGCGACGCGCGCACCGTCCAGCGCACGAACACGAGGTCGGGGTACTTAGTCGTCAGCGCGAACTTGAATTTCTGGTTGAAGAGCGGATTGAAACCGTTCTCAGGCACGATCTGGGTGCGCAGGCGGCGCGGGGCGCCGAGACCAGAGGAACCGCCGCGGCCGGCGGCGTCGGGTCCGCCTTCGCCTACTACGCCTGCGACGTCTTTGGCTTTGTCGTCGGCGTGGAAGACTTCGACTTCGACGTAGGGGTCGACGGTGCGGGTGGCGGGGAGGTTCTTGGGTCGCATGAGCTGCTGCGCGGAGATAACCTCGATGCTGAAGGTGACCAGCTTGCGCTCTCGCTTGACGTAGCCCTCGCCAGCGGCCTCGGGGACATTGGGGAGCATGGTGATCTCGCGCAGGCCGCTGGGCTTGAGAACGTAGCCGGAAACATCGGTGCCGCCTTCGAACATGGCATCGTTGATCTGCATGCCAAGATCGTAGGTCTGCCAGTTAAGCGCGGCCATCTGCACGCCACGGCGCCAGTAGGTCAGCGGATCGAAGTTGGTCGAGGCGACGCGCCACCCGTTGGGGTACACGCGCATCATGTGGCGCATGTTGTGGCGCACGAGCGCGCGCTTGGTGTCGGGCGTCTTGCTGTTCTTCGTGAATGTCGCTTCCATGAAGGAGTAGATGTGGTTGTAGGTCTTGCTCTCTGGCGTGTCGAAGCCGTGGAACTTGACGCCTGCGGTGTACACCCCTAGGTCGCCGAGAACCTTGACAATGTTGCTCTGCTGCTTGCGCTTCTCGGAACCGTCGTCGTTCATGCTCTCGCTCTCGCTCGTGCTGTTGCTCAGGCTGTCCTGGCTCTCGCCGGCATGTTGGGGGGATCGTATGCTTGTAGTCTGACTGCGGGTGATGCCCATGGTGGGACGTTGGCGAGGGCTCATCGGTGGGCTTTGCAGGATCGACGCGTTTGGGATCATGGTGTTGTCAAGCACGATCGGTCGCACGTACGGAGAGTTGACGCTGGCTCCGCGTCTCCGGCCAGCTGTCACCTCGGCGTTGAAGGCCGGCTCATCACAAGGCATCTTGACCTTGATCAGGATGCGATTCATCAGCTGTGACGGGCTTGGCAGCTGCTGGGAGTTCGGGTCCAGTGGCTCAGTGACGAGTTTCGATCCGCAGGTCGCCTTGATGATCTCCGCCATCATGATTTGCTGCTGTCGGCTGCAGTGGACTTCGAGAGAGATCAACAGCGGGAACTGAGAGCTGACGAAAGCATACTTGCTGATCGTAGTCATGACATCGGCGAACGAGACTTGGCTCGTCAGTGTCCTGCCGTGCATGACGACAGGACCCTCGCTGCCATCCCAGCAGTCGACCTCGACGCAGCGACAACCCTTCGACAGTGCTGAGATATAGGCCTCGACGCTCGATTGGCCTGCAACCTGCCTTCCTAGAAGGTACGTGTTATGAGAGCTTGATATATAGTACTCGTGAAGTGGTCGGTCGAGGGTGAAGTTTGCTGGAACATCTTTAATCGGAACATTATATGTAGAGGTAAGGTAGCTCGCCAGAGCGGACTCGTTCATCAATGGAGTCTCGCCGTTTTGGAGGTCTTGCTGGGCTTGCTCCTTGGTCTTCGATCTCCGGACAAACTTGCTGAACACAGTCGTCCAGTGAGTGCGACGGCCCTCGACATCCTCACCTTGCGTGTCCTTCAAGAACACCAGGAAGTCCTCGAGGGTAATGCCCTTCTTATCCGGCACGGTGAGCTCGTTATACAGAGCCCGCACGTCCTCGCGCCTCTTCATGAGATTGATGAGCTCCTGGAACTGGCCATATGTAAGTAGCCCGCACTTCAGCTCATCGACCTGGGCAAATTTGGCACGCAAATGATTGTTGACACCATGGATGTGTAAGCTCCGGCAAAGGCGCTCAACGCCTGTGATATCAATCATCTCCTCGTCCTCGGAGTGCGCCCTGTCGCCAAACTGCTTATTCATCTCACGACGCCAGTACGCGCGGACCGCCTTGTCGTTGAAGGACGACAGCGACGCCATCAACTCGTGTCGATGTTTCGAGATGGCATCGAGGGTAGTCGTCCATAGCTCAAAGGTCCTGTCATCACCGGCAATTAAATGCATCAATTTCTGCGATCGGCCTTTCGATTTATCAGATATCACGTAGAGGATTGAGAAAAAGCGGCGTTCGTCACAGGCCGGCACGCCAAACTCTGAGCGATAATTCCGCGCGTCTGACCCCGAGCGAATTTCTTTGATGTCGTCAATGTAGAAAGCCTTTGACGGTCTGTTCTTGTCCCATGAGACCTTTGCGGCATCGATATCGAGAGCAAATGTAAGCAGCTTCCTCTTCTTCTTCGACACCTTGAGCATCGTTGTGCCCTGGAGAAGCACTGCCGGTATAACCGGACCGTCGTTGATGGGCACCCCAGAGATGGATCCAGTGGGGCTGCCATTGCTATAGTACTCCTTCATCCCATCAGCGAAGCCATTCATATCGTCTCGTGTATCATCTCGGCTCTCATCGTCGGACTCCGTGAGCAGCACTGGTCGGACCTCCGGCGCCGTGCTGGTGCTGTCACTTCGCCTCCGCATGATGACCGGTCCCGAGCTGTGATCGCGGCTATTGGCAGCGGCAGACGACTGTCGGCGGCGCCCAGCAAACTGAGAAGCCTTATTTGATAGTCTCCTGATGATGCCCGGACCTTTATTTAAAGCCATTGCCTCGCTCATGGCACTGTGGCTGTTCTTTCGGTGGACAATGGATTCGGGAAGCTCGAAGGGGGGTGGAAGGTCACTATCACAGCTGCCCTTGGGTAGGTCGGGCCCAGGTGAGCCCTGCACAGAGCTGTTGCTTGTTGTGAGTTGTGTCTGAGGGGAGAGTACCGGAGACGCCTGCTGCGAGCTGGACGTCAAGGAGGAGGCACTTATGGCGGAAGTGGGGACCGAGGTGGAGGGTATAGTAGGTAGGAAGCTCGTCTGAACTTTGGAGGGCATGGCACGCCGCGGCGGCTGCGCCGGTATGGTGGGTTGGTGAGCCATTGTGGTAGTGGGGGGAGGAGGAGGAGGTATAAATAATGGCGTTGCGGGTTCGAGGAACAGTATTGATAAGTGGAAGTTCGGTGGTGAAATATTTCGTTATAACGAGGCCATCAGCGATAGCTTCGAGGGATCGCAGGGTAGGAGACTGCAGTGCCGAGCTACGACGAGCGAGCGGTATCTTTAATTGTCTTCATATTTCTTTCTCTGGGTGCCAATTTGACAGGGATTTGGGGGACCGGAGAGAAAGGCCCTTAAGTTGTCCACGCAGCCAACGCGTTCGGTCTGTCGTTCGGCGTGTCAGACGCAAGGCTGTCGAGGGAGGCCGTGTTATGTAGGCGTAGGTAGGGTCGTAATTGTATGTATATGCGGGCGTCTGACGGTCGACCTGCAGCCGGGGGGGGGGGGGGGG